CGGCGCGGCGCGGTAGCCACGCGATGCTCCCGAATTCCGCTCCTCGCGAGAATGTCATGGTCTCTGGAACGTGGGAGCTTTTCCCGAGATTTTCGTTCTAGGGGTCAATGGCATCCATTTTTTTAACCCCACTGGAAAAAAACTCATTGGATGTAGAGTCCAGACTCTTGAAAACATTGACAAGAAAATGGACTCTTGATTCAATCAGATTTAAGCTTAAATCAAAAGGAAATCCGCTCAAATTAAGAGGCTTTGTTCTTGATTCAAGCAAAAATCCGATTGAATCAAGAGTATTTTTTCTTGTCGGTGTTTTTAAGAGTCTGGACTCCAGATCCAATGTGTTTTTTTCCAGTGCCTTTCCTGCATACCGTTGCATTTAGATAGCAAGAGATAGTTTGGGATGGATGGGAGGGGGGGGGGGTTTAGAAATCGGATCTCTGAAAAAAAAAAAAAATCGACTAATGTTGCCTCTTTAATTAAAAAATTCTAAAATCGGCGATTCGCACATGCAATAAAGGGTTAATTCATTTTTTGACAATGAGCAATAATTTTTTTTTGACAATCATTTTTTTACTTTTTGCAAACTAAGCTCCTAGAACTTTTACTTGCTAAGTTCACCACTGAACTGCCCTTCTCCAGAGAAGTGCACTAATGGGAGGCCCACGTTTCAGACTGCGCCTATGTACCTATAAAAAGTCTAAAGCCGGCCCTGCTGTAATTTATACATAAAATTTTGATGCGAAACTTTCTTTCCGCCTCGCAGAGATTGTTATTCGCACGAGCCGAAAACGACGCCCCAGTCGCCTCTTAGTACCGATTATTTGTCCGCGTGTCCGTCTATTTTAGCGAGATAATATGTTTTCTCCACAACAATCTCACACGCGGGCGTCCGAGCTTGTTGAAAATAATAATTGCGACCAGCTCGGCTGCTGAGCCGGGGTCAGTGTGTGGATTTTGCGCGTTCCCAGACCAACTGTAAGCAACATTATTCAGCAACCCAGAAACCGAGCGAAAGTTGCTCGGAAGGAAATATGCTGAGTTGATTGCAGGCAGACCAGTTGCGGCGAGAGCGCGGTGCGCGGGTGTTTGACTGATCTGGACCACGGACATACAGCCTCTGTAGTTGGCCAGTCATATCCTTAGCTTTACAGTACCTCCTTTACTTCGTGCTTGTTTATGCACCTTTTTTAGGCAAGAAGAGAGGAAACAGCAACATTTCCGCCTTTCTGAGGTCTAATCTTCGATGAAATAAAGAACCACGCATCTCGTTTTAAGACGTTGCAGTCGTTGCACTTTCTTCCCCCAACCCAATCCCCCCCTCCTCAAAGACGAAAAAGGGGTCTTTTTAAACATTTTCCGGAATTGGATCCCCTTGAGATGTATGAAAATGGACTTTTGGAGTGTGATTCAAAGTCTCAACAACATTAGAGCCTAAGTTAAATATTTTTTAGGTCATTAAGTTGTAGTCGAATGAACTTTGTCCCAGCAAACGTTTGGTAGTGATAACCCTTCTTAGCCTTAATAAGGGTGGCCTTATTTCGATATTCAGAAAAAAACGACTTATGTTCTTGTCTTATGTTTTTATGACAAATCGATGGCGAAACTGTGAAAACATGTGTACATCATTTTGCTACCCTGCAGACTTCCCGTTACACTTTATTAATTTCAGATTTTTTAGATTCAATTGCGTGCAAAATTGTTTTAATATTTTGGGGGAAAATTTTCAAAAATTTCCCAGTGATTTTGGTTTTTATCAAAAAAAACTTGGCAACGTCCAGGGCCGGATTTAGGGGGTGGCCACATGGGCCGCGGCCCGTGGCGGCAAATTTAGGGGGCGGCAAGTTTTGCAATTTTTTAAAATGTAGTTATAAAGAAAAGTCGGAATCAGAGAAAAAAATTACTAACGAGAAAAGGTGACAAAATCTCTCATTTCCTGAGAGTGTATTTCTAATTTTTTCGTCTTTCTGTTGTACAGTAGACAGGACCTTTAATTACTCGAGTTAAGACTAAGAGAGAAACCGAACACGGAATTTGGTCTGGAACGGCGCGCTGCAGAGAGCAATGATGACGAGAACTTGAGATGCAACGGAGAAACCCTCGGAGCGGCGCGACGGTCGGCATGTAACACATTGTAGCGCCTACAAGACTGCATGAATACTTCACGCATTGCGTTAAAGACAGTGCGGTCGCTGCGGTCAGCAGCGGGCGGCATGAAACGCATAGCGCCTACAAGACTGCATGAATACTTCATGCATTGCGTCAAACACAGTGCGTGCAGCAGCGGTCGGCGTGAAACGCATAGCGCATACAAAACTGTAGGATTACTTCATTGCGCTAAACACAGAGCGGTCAGCGCGGCGCGGCGGCGGAAATTAAAATTATTAAAACCACATTTATGTTTGTTCTGTCATTATTTTTTCGTTCATTTCATATAAATGGAAGGCACTGTCCACAGAGATATAGGTTTACGGAAACTTAACTATCGCGCCAAGTTCCGTGAACTTTTACTAGTATAGTGTTGACAGGGCTCTCGCAAAAAATGTGTCCAACACGAGTAAACGCGTCTTATGAACCCCCCCCCCCTCCGGCACGTTCACTTGATGGTTTTTATTGATATTTCAAAACGAATGAGAAGGGGGCGACAAAATACATGCGGCCCACGTGCGGCAAGTAAGTAAATCCGGCCCTGGCAACGTCTGAAGGCTCATACGGCGTTCTTCCTTAGCACGGCAGAAAACCTCTCTGATGTTTTTCTTTTCTATAATGAAGAATGCAAACATTTCAAGCAGCTCTGTTGTCAAACCCTTCGAATGAAACTCTTAATTCGATGGATAAGGGTTTGTTATTCGACTGCGATTCATTGACCGAGCCGTGACTACACATACTAATACGATCCACACAGTTGGGTGCTTTCCAGCCCGAAGCAAAATTGATGTTTCGAAGGGCCGCGAGGGTGGCCAATGTGAAGAAGCACCAAAAAATATATTCGTAGAAGTCATTACACCCCTCCCCCTTCATCCCATGCGCGTCTGCCCTTATGAGGGTCGCTCTAGACGCGACGCACAGTAGATCGAGTCAAGGAGCCGTTGGACAAAATTTGGAAACTTTAAACGCTTATAACTCCGTGTATACAAAACTTTTGAGGTTCTAAAAGTGGTCCCATTGTTTTCCTCGTGAAGTTTTCTTCTAAAACCACCCCTACAAGTTTAAAATGTGACGAAATAAACATCAAACGTTTCATTTTGAGTCAAAAATTTTATGTTCGACCTTTCTAATTGGCTCGATCCACTGTGAGACGCGACGGACGGCCCGCCAAGGGTCCACCCTCCGCGGCATCGATTGCGCCTCATCCCCGTCAATGGAGTGACGTCATCGATATTGAATAATATGATGAAACAGTCACGCACACACCCGTAAGATAACGACAACGACAATGACGCGATAAAGGATAATGTTACGATTAGGACCGACGGGTGACGCATCCACGCGGAGAAGGGGTTCCCGCGACCGATGTGATAGGGGATCATCCCCTACTCCGCCGTGCTGAGGAGAAACGCCGTATGAGCCTTCAGACGTTGCCAAATTTCCTCCGATAAAAACCGAATTTACTGGGAAAATTGCGAATATTATTTTTCAAAATTCTCAGACAATTTTGTACGCAATTTAATCTAAAATATCTGAAAATTTCAAGGAAAAATATGCGAGAAGTTGTCAAATAAATAGTGTTTTATTCAGGGAAATTCGGCAACTCTCGAATGTTTACACGGCGTTTTTCCTTAGCACGGCAGTACTGCTTCGCTTTTGTTCTTTACGTATCTATTTCCTTGATTATAAGTTAAAAAACAAAAAAAGAGACTTGCTCTTCCGCGATCGTATGATTTTCTTTGACTTTATACGTCCACCCTCCATCCCTTCTAGTGTTTCCTCATTATTTTTTTTCCTTAATTGGACCGAGTTTATCAGAAAGGAACCAACCCACATTTTCGAATGAAATTGAGTTAGAATGTTCTTGAGTTCCACTAGTCGTATATTTTCTCCTGCCAAAAACTGAGAGTCCAAAATCAGAGATTAATTTGTGAAAGAGGAGTTAAAGTTTATTTTTTATATTGGGCCTCATGCAGGAATAAAACTTCAAACCTCTTTCTCTCAGTTTCAACTTAATGTGGGTTGGTTTCTTTCTGATGAACTCACTCGGTCCAATTTCAACTGAGGGATTCTGTTACCGTGTCTCCTAGCCGTGCTACAATTATTCTAAAATATGCTGCCTCTATGAATTATTTAGGATATTCTTGGATCATTTCTTAAAAAATAAAATTAAGCAATGTCAAAAATTATCAAAGGAATAGGTACTTCCAGAACACTATATCCGCAAATGTCTCATTTTTTTGAAAGGAATGAGGTTAAAGTATAATATTGTTGAGCAATTTAAGCCTACTATTTTCATTTTCTTGATACTAAACATTTCATTCAAGTTTGTTTGTTTTTTTTTTTTTGTTTTTAAACACCTGCGATTTCATGATGAGCGATAAATTCAAAAAGTAGGTGCCCCTTGATGACTTGGTGAATTCGAACTATATACGAGAATAATTACTAACAAAGGCCGCAAAGAGAAATAGCGCACTGCATCGGGCATATTTCAACTTCTAAAAAGGTCGCTCTGGTTTTCTGGGTTTTTTACGTCATAAAATAATTATAATTCGAAAAAATATTGAGCACGGCTATAGTTTAAAAATTTAAGAATTCAAATACTCATCAAACACAGAAAATTAAATTATGATCGGCATAGTTATCTTTCCTTCCCATTCCTCTCTCAATGAAAAAACCAAGAGAAAGATATTCACAAGCAGAATAGCGGGCCGCTAGAAAAAGAGCGCAATTTTAAATTTCCCGGTTATTACAATATTCCTTGTTTTTTCTCAAACATTCCTCTGGTTCTCATTTCGTTCCGGTGAGGAATTGGAACTATGCAATGAAATTCAATTCATTCAACATGGCGCTGACCGACTGCCACCACCGTAGTTGTAGTAGATTTTTTATGAGTTTTCTACTATTTTCATCATAATCGATCAATGTATTAATGAAATTTTAGTTCATAATGTCCATCTAGTGTCTTTGTGTTCGTCAACCTTCGCTTTCATCGATATTATTGCGAGTTTCGGCAGTGTGATACTTCCACCCGTGTGACCACGCTCGGAGCGTTTTGTTTGTTTACGTGTTTCAAATTTTATCAGAGAACTTACATTTTTGTGATTATTCTCCTGCATTTCGAGTTTGCATTACTGTCATCTCATTAAATATTTTCAGTTTTTATTTAACATCAGACCAGTGTATTAGCCGTCAAGAAATCATTATACTTATCGAGGAAATCGGTTGTGGAATGTTGACACAGCTCAGGACAAGAATGTTCGTTTTCACCCCAATTATGAATTAAAAGTACGAATGTTTCACATCTATCAATGAGATTCTCAGTTGACTTCAAATAATTATCAGGTTTTTTCGCTGTCATGTGACCAATGCTGAATTTTTTTCCCTCCTTCACGAATGGATACCAATGCCCCCTCAAACAATATTGACACTATTTATCAAAGAGCCCCCTCCTGATAACAAGAAATGTGTAAATTCAATCCGAACTTGTGGTGCGTTTTGGTGCTTTATGCTGTTCTCAGTTGTTTCTCAAAATGCAGTGGCTATCTAGTAATCATCACCAACTCCAATCAACCAGGCACCGTCATATTCGAAGCCGGATTTTCGGGTGCTGGAAGTGGGCATCGAGAGTACTCGCTGAATCCACACCGCAATGGATACTTTGTGCAAAAGTTGTTTTATGTTGATCCCTCCTCCGGAAGTGTAATTCTAGTCAAGCATATTGATTGCTCTAGCATCGAATACCCTAGTTTGTTCACGTTGTATGTAGATTCTACATCAAACACAACATTGGAATATCTATCTGTTCCACTGCGGATATTGGTGAAAGACTGTGATGATAAGTCAGAATTCAATGGTGAGTTGATCAATGTCTTGACAGTTATTTTCTCCAGCTCTCCATCTCAAGCTGAAAAGTTAGATGATGCTTAAGGAGCAAATGTTATTTTCATGAAACGTCCTCAATGGGAGAAACACTGTAGTTTTTCCCTCCATGTGTTTGAATATCTTTACTCAGGGTGGCTAGTGACTGGGAAAAATCAAGGAATTTCGTCAATGGTCAGAGAATATTTTGTGTAGCCGGGGTCCACTTAAAAATTGGGTCCACTGCGGGCCAGCTGATCGCATTGTTTGCCAATGTTTTGACCATATTAATTACTGAGTGCCCCAATGTTATTGCAAAAAATTCAAGGAATTTCATCAGAAGAAGTCAGGGAATGGTAAAATGAAATTTTGCTAGCCACCTAGCTCCGCTTGCACGCCACCTTGCTAGCTCACTATCATTGAACTTATTGACTATAAAGCATAATGCCGGCGTAAGTCCGCAATCACTTATCTTGTTTGCGGAGTCTGAAAATCTCCATCTCTATGTTACTTTTTTTTTGGCATCATTCCTTGAAGTTTATGCAGAATTTTCTTTGCACAGAGAAAAAAAATCACGGTAGTTTTAAAGAATTGCCATTGAGTAGTTTTCTGTTTCAAAAATAAATTATGACAGGAAGTCTGCAAGGTTGCAAACGGAGTTATGCGATTGCTGACTTACACTGTCGATAAGTTAGTTTCAAGTATTCATATTGTTGAATTCTAAACTTCATATTTTAAGACAGGAAAATACTGTCAAGCCCACACTATTTTCCAGGGAAAGCAAGGCCCAAAAGTTCAAAATTTTCAAATAAAAATGTTTGACTCTAATTAAAATTTTTTAACTTTTTGGCCTTTCTGTCTCTGAAAAATAGTGTGGACCCTGCACTATTTTACGACTTTGTTGCATACAGTTTGGGCCATATTTTTTGGGGTTCTTTTCTCCATACTATACTTCTATGAGACCCAATTAAGTTCCTTAGTCAATTAGTCTACTTGGTTGTAATTTACAAAATTCCCTATCTAGTGAAGTAAGTAGGTAATGATAGCTCCATGGAATGCTCAGACATGAGGAATTAAGCTTTCGTTACGATCATCTTTTATTTTAGGTAAATATCTTACTGATGGTCAGTTATGTAGTAAGCAAATTTTTTGCTGAAAATGAGCAAAAATCCAAAATTTGTCCCTCTGAAATCATTCAGCAAACTTTGAATTCCAAGGTAAATGTTATGCTGATCTGACAAGCAATAATTTTATCAGAGGTAAATCTTGTCTTTTTTGTGAAAGATTCTTCCAGTGCTCAAATAAAATCAATTTTTCACATTTGCAGATGCTGATGCACGAGCATTCATTAAATTATCAGAAGCAAAAGAGTGGTTTAGTGAAACACTAGCATCGTTTGTGATTCCTGGTAGCAGGTGAGAGTTTTATTTTAAAGCATTTTCTTCAATTTTTACATGTATGCTTTGCAAAAAATTTAAGGTTTGTAAGATTTTCTTGAATGCTAAGTAGGTACTGTATGTGATTCAATAACTACAAAGCCATACAAATTAGCAGTAGCCTGCTCCGAAGTGTAACACCTGAAGTTTAGCTAAGAGGTAATCTTTTTGGTAGTCTTTATTTGGTTCTGTACAAATTGTATTAAATTCTCCTCATCTATATTCTGCACTTCTGATTACAGTAGACTTTTGGAAATCAGTTAAGTACATGCAGGTTACTCTCCCGTTTTTTAAAAAGAATAAAAAAATTTGAGAGGTTTTGCAGTGAGTTTCTTATTTTTATTACCTAATGGGATCAACAAAAGATGAAATTTAAGTCAAGCCCATCTTCAGTAAATATAGCCGCTTATATTGAAATAGTTGAAATCGTCCTGTAAATGCACTAATTCTGCATGCTTTTAAATATTATAATTTATAAGAATATCTGTCTCCTTCCCACCCTCCAATTCTGCTGAATGTTGACACTATCAAAAGTGAAAAAAAAAAAAAAGAAAGAAAAAAAAAAAATGCCCTCCAGTATGAGTAACAATTTTTAACATCCTCCTATTAAACGTGTCCAACAGAAATATGAGTCGGCTATCAAGTTGTCAATTTTGAAAACCCCCTCAAATTCTGCCTTGTTGATGCAACGAGTAAGACGTTAATATTTGAATGGAAAATTTGGTTTCCCTCCAAGCCAGAATTCATCCCTCCAATTATTATTAATAATGCAAGTTTGTTGTCACTCTACTGTAATATCTCAAGTAATTGCAGTCAACTCTGAATCTTTTAAAGTTCAGAAAATATCCTATTGAAACGAAAATACACCCCTCTGAAATATAAAGGCATCATTATCATCTCAAATAGAAAGAAAGACTTCCGTCCTCTTTATTTTTGTCGAACCACTTTAATGTAGTTCTGCTAGTATTCCAAGTTTTTTTTTAGTAATGGAAAACCCATCAGCTTCTCTTATCTAATTTAACTTTCACTTACTTTTGTGCAGTTTTGAGCCAGGACTATTGGCCTCCCCACCAGCAGAAATCTGCCTGAAGCAAAGTCAGTTGCTTACGAACGTTGGATCAGCCCTGATTCCTGCTTCCATATCCCAGCGATGCAGAATCAAGTACATCGATGTGAGCGATCAAAGATTTAAGTTCGAAGAAAGCATTGGAGACCTTGTCGCTGCACAAGATGTTTGCATACCAGCTGAGCCATCTTGGGATGTTAGACTCCTTTTTCAATACACTTGCGATGGAATTTTTGATATTGTGTCTCCCAGTGAACACCATATTAAGGTATTTATTGAACACTTTTCTCCTATGTAATCAATAATTATGTTGGGTTATTTTCTGCAAATCTTTAAAAAAAATATTCTCCAGGAATCTAAAAAATGCAAAATAAAACTGTGTTTTGTATCCAACTGACCATCAAGATTTTGGCTTATCTATAAAAACCGCTATCAAAATTTTCAAGAGTTAACCATACTGTGGCTCTGAACTGCCTCCAACTTGGAGATGAGCCCAATGGTTACCAAGGAATCTTACCAAGTTACCAAGTAGTATTGTAATCTTTGACAGTCAATTATGTTCCTCCTAAAATGTTCCATCCTACCAATTAGTTTTACTCTTTATTTGTTTTGAATTATTTTCAGCATTTATTGTGGGCCTAGGAGGTAATGAACAAAACCCTCATTTAAACTTTTTATTAAAATCTCCACCCTCTCTCTCAAAGAGCAGCATGTGTAACAAGTGTCAAAAAATTGAAACAGCCTCTACCTCTCCTTCACTTTCTTCCTTGCATGTTGCTGTGTCAAACTCCTACTTAGACACAAAAATTAGGCTTGTTAGTCCCTTGAAATTCTGTTATGTTGATAGAACACAGCTCCGTATCATATTTTTCATTTTCTACTTTATTTGTTTTTAAATATCAATCTTTGCTTCATTGCAGATCGTATTCTGGTACAGAAGAGACTTCAATGACACCAATCGAGTGCGCCGAGATACGCGTCAACCAGGACCACAATTTGAACGCGCGCTGTACGTTGCATCCATAAGTGAAGAGCAGCCCCCGGGCTTGTCTGTCTGCTCTGTCGTTGCTCGAGATGTAGAAGGCAGTAGTTCTACGTACTCCATGGTCTCCCTCCTAGACGCAAGGACACAGTCTTTGTTTAGTATTGATACCAAATCTGGTCTAGTCTCTACAGCTGCAACGTTAGACAGGTTTGTCACCTCAATTGTTTATATTTCCTGCATAATTATTTATTCTCTTTTTTTTAATACAGAAAATCTCACCAGAAGATTTTATTGCAGTAAGATTACACATAGTTAAATTTCTTAGTAAATCGTTTATGAGTCTACCATGGTCCGCTTTCAAACATTTTGTGTGGCTAACCATAGATTTTTCTTACCATCTAAGAAAGAGAGTCAACAAGAGTGACTATCGTTATTCAATAAATCATTCTATTTTGACCCTAAGAGTATTCTGAGAAACTTAATATAAAAATGTATCACATCTTGCAATATATTCTCAAATGTATAACCCAAAAACCATCTGACTCACTGTTAATTATTACAATGTTCTGAAGCTCTTTATGACATTTCTTACTATAAAAGGAAGGAAAAATTTACGTTTGATTCGTTAAAGTTCAGAAGTTTGGGTGCCCCCAAAAAAAGGTTAGTTTAGTAGGTTGGATACTTTGAGTACCCTTATTAGTCTATCCATCTGTGAACTGTTATTGAGCTCAAAGACTGTTTCAATCAAAAATTTTAGCACATAGCTGAAGTACCAATATCAACTTGATACTTGATAGGGTAGTAAGGAAGTAACAAGAAAAAAAAAAAAAAACACTGAAAATGTGCCCCAAACTGTATGTACTGAACAAGGTGATAAAATCACACTACATATTTTGAGAGGAGATCAAGGCTAAAAAGTTCCAAAACTTTTGGAGCTCTTTAGCCTTGCTTTCCGTGCAAAATAGTGTGTACCCTGCACTATTTTACCATATTGTAACAGTAAGTATACAAGTAAGTCTTTTCTGTTATTTAGGGAAGTCTTGGACGTCCACTATTTTCGAGTAATAGCAACAGATTCGGCGTTTCCGCCACGGTCCTCTACCACCACTCTTCAGATCAACGTTTTGGATGCAAATGACCATGCCCCTGTGTTTGAGGCTCCCAATGCTGAGTATGAGGCTTCCATTCGTGAGTCTATTCCTATTGGCTCCTCCGTGGTGACAGTTCGTGCAACGGACAAGGACATTGGTCACAATGCAGAGATAGAGTATTCCATCCAAAGCATCAATAGTGGAGGTAAGCAGAACCTTTCTTTCAAAAGCTATGATCAAAGATTATTCTAAGTTTTTTTGAATTGTTAATGTTCAAATATGTTTTAAACTCTGAGCTTATTTACCAACTAGCAGAAACAATTATTTTTAAAAAGGTCCACATTTTGAAGCACTGATACAAACTTCAACCTTTTTTGTTTTAATGCTTATTGCTGTACCGTATTATCAATCCAGAATTACAGCCAAAATAAGAAAATTTGAGCCAATACCTTTATATTTTCAATTGTAGATTCCCTCCCCTTCTTTTTTTTCAGCCGTTGTCACAAAACCACCATGCATAACACTTTCGGAATGAAATAGCCTTTAATTCAATTATTATGTATCGATAAATCTTCAGTCACTGAAATAACGTTAATTATAAGAGACTGTGAAATTTTGAATGTCATGATTTAAACAATCTGCTTCAAATATCGAAATTCTTCAAAGTGTAAAAAATGTATTTGATGTAAAGATGTTTTTAAGGTGTATAATTTTTTTTTTTTTTCACATTATTTTCATTTCAACTTTTGGAATCATTTCGAAATTACTTTAATGGCTCACTCTTAATATTTTCAGAGGTAGGGGGGGTCAGAAAAATTGAATGCCCTCTCTCAATATTTTTTTTATTTAAGATAATCATGAAAATTTTCCTAGAAAAATGTGTTAATGAACACTCTTTCAAACATCAATAATAACTTAATTTCTTTTTCAGGTCTTGTTGCATCAGAACCGGGCTCTGAACCATTCTCTCTTGACGGCAAGTCTGGTGTTCTGATAACACGACTCACTCTTGATCGAGAAACCACAGAAGTTTTCACTATTATTGTTATAGCAACAGATCAAGCTTTGCCAGCCTCAGATCGAAAATCCTCCACCGCCACAGTTGTTGTTCACGTATTAGATGACAATGACAACTACCCGCAGTTTTTGGAAAAAGCATATTCAGTCAGTGTAGATGAAGATACTAACTTTGCTCAGTCACCGGTCATCGCAACAATTAAAGCCATCGATATAGATGAGGGTCAGAATGCAGCTATTCGTTATGCAATCATCGGTGGCAATACCCAAGGACAGTTTTCAATCGACAGTCAATCAGGAGAAGTCACACTTGTGAAAAGCTTAGACTATGAAGCTTTGCGGAACTATAGACTCATAATCCGCGCTCAAGACGGAGGTAGCCCTAGCCGATCAAATACAACGTCTCTACTGATCAACGTGAAAGATGTCAATGATAATGCCCCGAGATTCTACACCACTCTCTTTCAAGAGACAGTTTCTGAAGCTGTACCTGTTGGGTATAGTATCGTACAAGTGCAAGCTTATGATGCTGATGAAGGTGATAATTCTCTTATCAAGTATAGTCTGTCACCGCGTGACTTGGCAGGCTCACCAGCGAATGAATTGCCAATATCAATCGATGAGACTAGTGGGTGGATTGTGACATCAAAAGAATTAGACAGAGAAGTAAACAACAAGTTTCAGTTCCAAGTTCTAGCAACAGACCATGGGTCGCCTCAAAAAACCGCTACCGCAAGTGTTGTCTTTTTAGTACAAGATGTCAATGACAATGATCCTACATTCAATCCAAAACAGTATGAAGCAGTTGTAGGAGAAGATGACCCTCCTGGAACTCCCGTGACAAGTGTCTCGGCAACAGATCCTGATGAAAACCCTCGCCTTCACTATGAGCTATCTGGTGGAAACACACGCAGTAGATTTATGATCACAACCCAGAATGGCCGTGGACTTATCACCATCGCTCAGCCATTGGATTACAAGCAAGAAAAGCGATTCATCATCACCGTCAAAGCTACCGACTCGGATGGCAGGTTTGATACTGCCACAGTGTATGTCAATGTCTCAGATGCCAATAACTTTGCCCCAACCTTTGACAACCCCCCTTACTCTGCAAGTGTGTATGAAGATGCACCAGTTGGCTCCACGGTTTTAGTTGTCACGGCTACTGACAATGATGTTGGGCAAAATGCACTAATTACATACTCTCTTGCTGCAGGCAATGCGCCAGAATTCACCATTAATTCACAGACAGGAGCAATTATTACAACTAAACCACTAGACAGAGAAACAACAGGGGGCTATCTTCTAACTGTCACAGCGAAAGATGGTGGGGTTCCTCCGCAATCTGACACAACAGATGTGGAGATCACAGTTTCAGATGTCAATGATAACAAGCCATTATTCTCAAAGCCAGCATATACTGGATCAGTATCAGAAGATGCATTAGTTGGAACAAGCGTTATTCATGTGATAGCAACAGATGTAGATTTTGGACTAAATGGACGAATACGTTATGCTCTAGGCAATGATACTGAAGCCTTTGTCATTGACCCAGCATCGGGTGTCATCAGAACCGCCAAACCTTTAGATCGTGAAAGTGTGGCCCAGTACGAAATAGAAGCATTGGCGATCGACCGTGGAACACCGCCATTAACAGGAACAGCCATGGTTACCGTCAAAATAGAAGATGTTAATGACTCACCTCCAGCATTTGAGTCAGATAAACTAACATTGTATATCCCAGAAAATTCACCAATAAGCTCGACAGTGGGCGAAATCTATGCGAAAGATCCAGATGAAGGGCCTAATGCAGTTGTGCAATATTCTGTCATTGGTGGTGAAGATTCGAACAGTTTTTCGTTAGTGAGGAGGCCTGGCTCTGACAAAGCTGACCTTTTAACGATGGTTGACTTAGATTATGAGAGTGCCAAGAAACGTTACGAACTTATAATCCGCGCTGCCTCTCCTCCATTGAGAAGTGATGTGCATGTAGAAATCATTGTCACAGACGTCAATGATAATGCCCCTAGATTGAAAGACTTTTTAATTATATTCAACAATTTCCGAGATTGTTTTCCATCAGGCGTGTTTGGTAAAATTCCTGCCTTTGACGCTGATATCTCGGACAAGTTGACTTTCAGAATTATCTCTGGGAACAATGCAAACTTAGTGAATTTAAATGAAAGCACCGGACACTTAAGTTTGTCACCGCAGCTCAATACAAACGTTCCGAAAGTTGCGAACATGGAAGTATCAGTTTCAGATGGAATCAATGAAGTGAAAGCTTCAATGCAGTTGATGGTACGGTTAGTCACAGATGAAATGTTGTTCAGTTCGATTACAGTTCGTTTAGCTGACATGACAGAGGAAGCCTTCCTGTCCCCTCTCTTCAACTTTTTTGTAGAAGGCTTAGCTGCTATAATTCCATGCCCAAAAGAAAACGTCTTTATCTTCAGCATCCAAGGCGACACTGATGTCAGCTCAAAAATTCTCAATGTTAGCTTTTCAGCAAAAAAAGCAGACGGAAGTTTCTACACTCCACAATTCCTGCAGGAGAGAGTTTACTTGAACCGTGCGGTTTTAACACGATTAGCAACTGTGCAAGTTTTACCTTTTGATGACAATCTCTGCGTCCGAGAGCCATGTTTGAACTATGAAGAGTGTTTGACAGTCCTAAAGTTTGGTAATGCATCAGGCTTCATTTCGAGTGACTCTGTTTTATTCAGGCCAATCTATCCTGTCTCAACTTTTTCCTGTCACTGCCCAAAAGGGTTCACAGGCAGCAGAGAACATTATTTATGTGATACAGAGGTAAATTTGTGTTACTCAGACCCATGCCTGAATGGAGGCGAATGCAAACGGAAGGAAAGTGGGTACTCATGCATTTGTTTGCCCGGTTTTGCTGGTGACAACTGTGAAATTGACTTGTCCAAAGATACATGTAAACCTAATGTCTGTCAGTCTGATTCTTCATGTACTCCACTGCCGCAAGGTGGATTTTCATGCAACAACTGTGCATCAGGAACAACATTTGAGTATCACAACAACTTGTGTCAACTGCGTGGTCGCAGCTTCCCTAAACACTCATTCCTCACGTTTCCTTCACTGAAACAACGCCATCGTTTGTACCTGAAACTTAAATTCGCCACTTTGGAAAGTTCTGGATTATTGTTGTACAATGGTCGCTACAACGAAAAGCATGACTTCATTGCCCTGGAGTTGATAGATAACGCCCGCTCCTTACAGTTCTCTTTTTCACTTGGTTCAAGCACAACACGCGTCATTGCAACGTCACCTACTGAACTTAATGACGGCAACTGGCACACTGTCACAGTAGAGTATGTTAATAAAAGTGCAGTTCTAAGTATTGATGATTGTGATGTAGCCCTGTCCATCAAACACGGTTCTCAGTTAGGACTACACTGTGCTAACATTTCAACTCAAGTTTTGGAAGACCGTTGTGCCCTATTCACAGAGACTTGTTATCGTTTTCTTGACCTGACAGGCCCGCTCCAAATTGGGGGTCTCCCTTCCCTTCCTTCCTCCACCAGTTTCCAAGTTCAATACACAGATTTTGTTGGCTGCATTTCGGATGTTTTCATAGATCACAAACTTCTTGACCTGAACACGTATGTTGCTGACAATGGAACACTCATCGGGTGTGCAGAGAGGAAGTCTTTCTGTTCATCTCAGCCATGTCAAAATGGAGGCACATGTTTCGATGACTGGGGGAGCTATAAATGTGAGTGTGCAGAGGGATGGAGTGGTAAAGACTGCAGTCAGAATATTGAACCTGCCTGGCGATTTAAAGGAAACGGTGTACTTTCGTTCAACCCTCTCTTGAGATTGATTCAGCTACCATGGTTGATTGGAATGTCGGTACGAACGCTTCAGTCAGATGCCTTCCTCATCAGTATCCAGGTCGGTCAAAATAGCTCAGCAACGATCTCTTTGGAAAGTGGCTACATTGTTTTCGCATTTGATGGACAGACAGCAGCTCTTGGAACAGCGCGTATCAACGATGGTGCATGGCACCGCGTCGAAATCATGTGGCAAAGTGGTGGTCAAGTGAGAATTGCGTTGGATTATGGCAAGCGCCACACTGTCAAGACTATAAATGCAAAAATTCAAGGCATGTATGTCGGAAAGATCATCATTGGTGGTTATGAAGATGAACAGAATTCAGTGACAAAACCCCCTGCCTTCAATGGGTGCGTTCAGGATGTGCGAGTTGGCAGTTCACAAAAGATAGCCCAGCAAGCGACTATGAAAATAAATGTGGAAGACGGTTGCTACGAGGGTGATGAGTGCACAGTAAACAGCAATCGCTGCCCTGTGCACAGCGAGTGCGAATCTGATTGGGAGCAGTACAGCTGTAAGTGTCATTCTGGTTACATTGGAACGTCGTGTACGAATGTTTGTGAATTGAATCCGTGCTCCAATGGAGCAGCATGCGTTTCTGCTGACAAGCCACGTGGTTATAGCTGCTTATGCGCATCAAGTAAATATTCTGGGGAGTATTGTGATGACAAAATTGATGAGACTTGCCCGGTCAGTTGGTGGGGGCATCCAGTCTGTGGACCTTGCAACTGTCCTGTTGACAAGGGCTACAACCCTGATTGCAATAAGACTAACGGCGAATGTTACTGTAAGGAAAATCATTACCAGCCAGATGGCTCAGACCAATGTCTAGACTGCAACTGTTACTCCGTCGGCTCTTTTGGCCTTGATTGCAACACCCAGACTGGCCAGTGCCATTGCCGTGCCGGTGTAATTGGGCGCAGGTGTGATGCATGCCCAAATGCCTATGCTGAAGTCACACTGCGAGGTTGTGAAGTAGTCTATGACGGATGCCCAAGAAATTTTGCTGGTGGACTTTGGTGGCCGCGCACTAAATTTGGAGATGTAAGTGTGGAAAACTGTCCGTCAGGTTCACATGGAACAACCACACGGTCATGCGATGATTTCCTTGGTGGTTGGCAGAATCCAGATCTCTTCAACTGTACGTCAACTGCATTCCTGCATGTTAAATCTGTTCTGAGTCAACTTGAACGAAATGAGCTTAGTATCACGACTTTTGTGGCCATCGAGACATCCAACACGCTCCGTCGTGCAGCAAATGAAACGCCGTCGTTGTACGGCTCAGACGTATTGCTTGGGAAACTAATGATCGAAAAACTTCTTGCATATGAAACATCGTTATCTGGTTTGAATCTGACACATAGCCAAGATAAAGATTACATCGAGAACATCCTGATAGCTCTCAGTAGGTTTGTCAACACAGATGTCACTGACCAGTGGATCAAACTTGAAGAAAAGAAGCAAAACTTGGGGATGATAATAAAAGCTCTGTTGAACTACCTTATAAATCTTGCCAAAAACCAAAAAGATACCTACACTGATCCATTTGAGATCGTAACACCAAATGTAGCCCTTGGTTTAGATGTTGTATCGTCTGAAAGTTTATACGGTTACGAAACAGAAGGAACGTTTATAGATAATGACATTCAACTGCTGGCTAAACAGTCAGAACGCGGAGTATTACCAAATACGCCCCTCGTTTTACAACCTCAATTTGCCAGTCTGAAATCAGGATCAAATAATATTTTAGGCCTCACTAACTCTCATTTCATGCCAACAGTTATTTTTCCCAAGTACAACAACTATCTTCAGAACAAAGAGAAGTTTGACCCTCACTCTCAGATCATGATCCCAATGGATCTGCTTGGCATCAAAGATCCATCGCAAGTAGAACTCACTCAGCACGACTTCTTAAGAGACCGGCAAGCAGTTGTTGGTTATGCCCAGTACAAGACTGTTGGACACCTACTTTCTAAACGGTATGATGAAACGGTAGTCAAGCGGTGGGGCGTAGACCTGTTGATTGGTTCACCAGTAGTATCAGTGGTTGTTATAGCCAATGATCCTGACACTGATGAAATTGTGACATTAAATAACAAAGTACCATTGACAGCGCCAGTCAGGTTGCGGCTCTGGCTTAATGAACCCATGGTCTCTTCTCGATCCAATCCTCAGTGTGTAAGATGGACTGCAGATAATGAGTGGACCCGAGCAGGCTGTCACACAGAGCTTCCAGAAAGCAACTGGTGGAGGTCTTCAGAACCAATTCTCATCAACTGTACGTGTAATCAGTTGTCAACACACGCCTTGCTGGTTGATATGATTGATCCAGAGGTAAGTGAATTCCAGCTGACATGAATTTTATTTTTGTATTTACTCACATTGTTCCAGTAAGTCATTATTGACACAGATCACACTGTTTTTTTTATGTCAGCCAAACTGAGTTCAAGCATATACTTAATGAGCAGTGCCAAAACACTGTGTAGCTATATAGATTTATTCATACCTATCCAATGTCAAAAGTATTGTGATCTTTCTCTTCAGAAGTGAAATTGATTTTTCGAGGAAACAAAAATAACTTTTTAGAATTTCATCTCATGATAAAGTTTGGTTAATATCATTTGTAGGGAAGATAAATAGTTATTAATTACAGTATATTTCTTCATCTAGGGTATATGGTGAATGACTGGGACACTTACAGAAAAATTAGCACAACTTAAGTTGGTCTCCTTACTTTTTTGAGACCCACCCGATTGGGTCCAAGCTAAGCTCACCATCAAACGTTGTTGAAATAAAGCTTAATCCATTGAGAACTAAATGCAATGGACTTAAATACTTTTCCTATCACATTACTTGGTATTTACACCAGTGAGTCAAGTGGTGGGAATTGCAGTCTCAGGTTAAATTTTCAAGAGAGACAACTCAGAAAAATTTGAGCTTTCAGTACAATGTACGAATATTAAAGATTTTGTAGTAGCAGTTGATTCAAATGTTATTAGAAGATCAACAGTGAATAATGTTGCGATTCTTGCTCTTGTTTAACATCCGCTAAATCAATTGATTTTTTCAAAGGAACTTTGAAGATCATATCTCTCCAGAATTTTGGTAGAATAGAAGTACTGTAATAAGTATCAATGAATTTTATGGAGGATATTGAATTGAATCTAAAGTTGTATTTTACTTTTAATTTCAGTTTGTCCTTGAGACCTCACCTCTTGAAGATGCTGTGACATGGCTTGGATTTGCGCTGACAATTATCGCTCTGACGTTTTCATCCATGGTCCTGTCTCTATTGAAGGCGCGTACGAATTCGAGCTCAATATTTACGAACCAAGCCTTCTGTTTGCTGATAACACAGACCATCTTCCTCCTGTTATTGAAAGGACGTGCAGAAATGGTTGCTAATGAGGTAATTTTCAGTTCTTTCAAAGTATCTCTTCTTTTTAATGTCTCATAACATAGACTTTTGTAACTCTGTAAACTAGCAGACTGCTCAAGCATTCGGAAGAGTGTCCATAATACTCAAATTTCAAAATGTTAAGAAAATTTTAAGTCTCTCATTTTACACTCTTGCTTTTTTCGTGGTGAAAGAATGATATTGTCAGAGCTCATTTTACTTGGAGAAACTCTCTTTCATGGGTGTTAGAGTAATGTGATGTTTAATCTCATCCTTTTTTTCCAACATCTGAACACACATCTGTGTTGTTTGCCTTTTCAAACAACTAAAATGAAAATAGAGGAGCTAATTATTCTCAGGCGGAGGTATTTTTTGTTTCATTTTCACTATGTGATGATGTGACTACGTCGATTTGGTTTATGAAACATTGACATTTTAACTTTAATGCGCACTAAGGTATTCAGTTCTTCTCCTTTTCCCTCTCATTTCAGAATTTACTTAATATTGTTTGAATGTATTTTCCAGATCCTGTGTAAATTGAGTGCCATCAGCTTGCACTACTCTTGGCTATGTGTTTTTTCATGGTCGTTAGTTGGATCACTGCATTTGTATCGCATGTTGACTGAAATGCGAGATGTCAACCATGGACAGATGGGTTTCTATTACTCACTAGGTTACTGCCTCCCAGCAATTGTAGTTGCTCTAGCAGTCGGAGTCCGCATAGATCAATATGGAAACTACTTCTTGTAAGTACCACATCTGTATATTTTAGAAGATGATGAAGTAAGATTTATAAACCTAAATAAGTATATGAAGTGTGCTATAGAATGTACTAAAAATTATGTAGAACTGATGTCGGAAAATTACAAGCACATTCAAATCCTCAGTTCAAGTGTAAAACAGTGTGGTAATAATTTGTGAGGCGATGGTTTAGAGGAATAATGAGAAAATTCCTAAAGTTTAAGATGAGGCGTAGTCGAATGCCTCTGCCTTTCTCTCTACCGTAGCAAAATCGTCCATTATGATTGAATATCAGCTGCTACATTTCCAATTTTTTTGGCCATCAGTTGCTTTCGTGGAAAATGCTGTAGTATTTTCCAAATTTTATGGGAGCTTAATGCAATTTTAAGGCAGATTTGGCCACTTTAATGCACTTCAGCAATTTAATTATGAATCAGAAGAATTTAGCCTACACTGGAAAAAAAACACATTGGATCTAGAGTCTAGACTCTTGAAAACATTGACAAGGAAAAATACTCTTGATTCCGTCAGATTTTTGCTTAAATCAAAAGGAAATCCGCTCAAATTAAGAGGCTTGGTTCTTGATTTACGCTAAAATCCGATTGAATCAAGAGTATTTTTTCTCATCGATGTTTTCAAGAGTCTGGACTCTAGATCCAATGTGTTTTTTTTCCAGTGTATGAATTAATTTGATGTTATTTGTTGCGTGCATCAGTCAGCTTTCAAAAATTCTTCAAGAAAAATATGCAGCTTGGTGTTTCAGATTATTCCTTTTCAAGTCAACCATCATGTGCATATTATATTAAAATTCATTCAGGATAAGTTAAACTTTGTTATTTTCACATCTCTAATAATACTATTTACTTTTCAGTTGTTGGTTGTCTCTATACGAATCAGTTGTCTGGAGCTTGATTGGACCGGTTTGTCTTGTAATATCAATCAACATCATTGTATTGCTTCTATCATTGCGTGCTGCGTTCACACTTAAAGATCACATAGCTGGCTATGGGAACCTTAGGTAAATTATCCATCCATTTCACATAATTTTGTAATTGTGCTAATTCACTTGAAATATACGAAAATTAAACTAACTATACCATAGTGACCCTAAATTCATACCATAAAATGAAGCTGACCGTCATTGGTGTTAAAGCTTTAATTAGATCAATCCAATCAACTATAAGACCCTATGTTGTTTGAAAATTTGATGTTGAGCATCTGTGGGTATGAGCACAGTGTTCAGATCTTACCAAGAAATTTACAGGCCAATTTGGCTAGCTTGAACATTATTTAGGGGCCAAATTTTTTCTTTTTTTTTTTTCAAACAGTTAATGATGAGAACCGGATGTCTTTCAGTATTTTCGAATCAGACTTTTCCTAGCTGATGACATATTCTTACAGCTTTCTTTTACCTAATTGTATCCATCTGAAGAGGCTCCTGATGGTGTTAAAATCAATTAAAAAAGTTTGTCTGGGCTTTAGCATTTTTATTGCTAGCTGACTGCAAATATCTAGGCGCAAATGAGAAATATTATGTGCATGGCGCCTGTCAGATTCAAATACCTTTTGTGCAACCCTAATATATTTATCACATATCCACGGTGTCAAGAAAATGCTTTTTCTCTTGCAGAACCGTACTGTGGTTGAGCGTTGTTCACCTGCCCCTTCTGACCATAGTCTGGATACTAGAGCTATTCTCAGCGTCCGAGCGGGAGCCGATTTTCTGCTACCTTTTAGCTCTGGCATCAGCAGTCCAATCATGGTTCATGCTGTGTGGCTTCTGCTTTGGCAACTCCCGCATCAGGATGGGGCTCCACCATGCGGTGTTTCGCATGTTAGGGAAAAAGGTTCCTCCAATGCCGACAATAAATGATAGTGTGGATGTCGTGCATGCACCAGTCAGCCCATCGCTCAATCCAGGGGTAAGGCAACTTAATACTGCGCCTTGAAACAAATCAAGAGCTTTTGATAGTTATAAATCTTGGGATGTAATGAGACCAATTTCCTGCACCTTCTTTGTACATTATACACAGTTTTATTACAGGAAAATATTTTCAGTTCCCTTTGAAAGATTAAAAAAATATTAGAACTAAGCACTTGGAAAATATCCCACTTCCTTTGCTGTATCAGTAAGATTGTGCAACCTTTTATCTGTATTTCTGGGAACCAAACAATTGTAACTTGAAGGCCATTTTAGTAAAAAATCTCACACATTCGAGGGCTGAATAGAAAGTAATGCATGCTTGTAATTATTTTAGGAATGGTTAAAGATTTTTTCCAAAGCAAATAAGCAAATGAAAGAAGGTATAACGATGTGTCTTTTAAAAGATTTAGCAGTTTTTGACGTAGTCACAATTCAATGCATTGTAGCACTTCCAATAATGCATACCAAGTTACAATTTATAAAAAAAAAATGGGTTGGAAGTAGCTATGAATTCAACTATTTTAAATTTTCTCCTGTCAAAAGTTTAAATCAAGTCGAAAAATTTCGAACAAGAAGATGATGGTTAAACTTTTGCCTTAAAATTAACTGTAGCAGAAATGTATCACTTTCAAACCTCTTTTTCTTGGTTCAAACTTGATGCGACTTGGTGTGTGTCTGTTGAATTCTTTCCATATCTATTGTTACTATCCAAGGGTAAAACCTAGAAGTACATCGCAGTTTTAACTAAGAGACTTATAGAATACATCATTTCGTCACCTTCCGGGCAAAGTATCACAAGCGCCATGCAACGTTTAAAAATTTCCGCCGCCATTTTATTTTTTTACAGAGAAATTGTTCAACGAAGCTGTCCGAAAATTTCACCGAATTTTCTTTGTGCTGCCGATAAAATTTAGTGAAATTTCCAAACAGATTCAACCAACAATTTCTTAGTGAAAAAATAAAATGGCGGCGGAAATTTTTAAACGTCGCATGGCGCTTGTGATACTTTGCCTGGAAGGTGACGATTTATGATATGACGATTCTTTCGCACAAAGGCAACACAGTTTGTCCGAATCAATCGGGTCGTCAAGTATCTCAGTGAGTCAGACAATCACTCAAAATGGGCTTTCTCAAAAAATTTGATTTGTATTCGTTACTTACTCATCTATTACCCTGGGCTTTTGTTTCTATTCTGGTCAGTAACTTGTTTTTACAATATTATTTCAGCGCTCATCATTAGCCTACCATAACACTGGAGTAAATAGTTTTGAGCCTGCAAGAAGGAATTTTGGAATTTCAATCTCAAGCACAACTTCTAGATCAACAACCAAAACCAACAGTAGCCCATACAGGTATGATTTTTATAATGGGATTAAATTTAATTTGACGTTGTTTGTTTACCTCCCTATAGTTGCCAATGCTCGTTTTTTTTAGAGTTTTTAGTGAAGCTCTGTCGTATTATCATACTCACCTCAAGAAAATTGTAAATTTCATTGGTCAAAATTGGATGGAATGAGCCTATCATCCTGAAAAAGGATCTAATTTTTATGTTAAATCTTAAGTACTTACTACTGGTCCTGAAAAATAATCGATTTCAAGAGTCAAAAATGTTTAAAGGTTTGAATATAATATGAAACAAGTTGGATTTTGCAATCGCTAGCGATAGCAATATTCGTCATGGGAACGTTAGCTTCTGGGATATGAAAATGTTAAGGTACAGTTCGTTTGTAGTATCTTCTGAATTGAAGGGGCTATGTAATTTTGTGTTGACATCTCTTTTTTAACATTTTTAATTATTTTCTTTGCATACAAGAAAGCTGTTATGTACCAATTATTTATTTTCGTTGAATTATATATGGTTTTCGGAAGTTAACGCATTTAAGTTTCAGGTTCGCTTTTTCGGCGTAAAGTATACGTAAGGTGTCCCAAAAGCACCGGGACTTGTTCTGTAACTTCGAAAGTAAGATAGATACAGACATGATCTTGATTTCATTTTAAAGATCAACTCAATACCTATCGATTAAAACCAAGATCAGCTCAATCGGATAAAAATTGACCGAGTTATGGCAATTTGAAATCAGCGAGGAAAGTTTACGCCTACGATTTTTAAGGAAGATTCTTCATCGCCGTAAATCGAAAAGTCGGCCGATAAAGTGATGCTTATTAGTGTATTTTCCGAAGGAAATACACTATTGCGTTTTGTGTTTTTTTATTTTCGAGGTGTCATTTATCAACATTTTGTACCATCAAACACAACAGTTGACAGTGCGTATTATTGCAAAGTAGTAAAGGAGTTGAGAATGCACATTTCCCGGAAACCGTCGGACTTGAAAGCTCCGTGGATACTCCATCAAAACAATGCGCAGCCTCACACATCGAGCTTAACACGTGAATTTATGAGTAAAAATGGAGTTGAAACAATCCCTCATCCCCCTTATAGCGCTGACTTGGCTCCATGTGATTTTTGGATGTTTCCCACGCTTAAAAAGGAGCTTCGCGGACGAAGATTCGTATCGAAGACCGAAATCCAGAATGCAATTCAAAACTTCTTCAACTCCATCCCAGAGGAATAATTCAGGAAAACAATGTTGGATAAGTGGCAAGAGCGCATGAAAAAGTGCATCCGGTTTGATGGACGGTACTTTGAAAAGCAAAAGGAAGTTATGGAAGATTCGGAGGAAAGTGGATACGAATATTAACTTTTTAAATCCTGGTAAGCGAAAAATCTTCCTAAAAACCGTAGGGGTAAACTTTCCTCACTAATTTCAAATTGTCATAACTCGGTCAATTTTTATTCGATTGAGCTGATCTTGGTTTTAATCGATAGGTATTGAGTTGATCTTTAAAATGAGACCAAAATCATGTCTGTATCTATCTTAATTTTGAAGTTACAGAACCAGTCCCGGTACTTTTGGGACACCCTACGTATGATATTTCCACTCTACACATATGCTCGAATACGCATCATAAGGGACCTATGTGCTTCCTAATCTGCCAAGTATTAATTATTGTTAGATGATTGGTCTAAAACATTCAATACAACCAGTAAAAATTAACTGTCCCCTGCGAGATTCGAACCCCCGCTCGCACAAAAAGTGTCACTCTCCCAGAGGCAAAACGGTAACGCAGCCAGTTGAGCTATTTCGCTGTTCAGATATGCATGGAGAAAAAGAGAACACTTAAGTGATCTCGGACGCTGAGCGGGGCTTCACAAAAGACGTCCTTGAGATTTCAACGGTTCGGCCACTGGCGTGATAAGACACAACGGATCAACCGCATTACTCTGTGAGACATTGTTTACCTATGCTGTCATGTGTCACGAGGTTCATCTCACCATGCATTTGCGATCGCGGCAGTAAGCTGAGGCAATATTTCTGTATTCATGGATTAAATCCATCAATCGAGTTCTGATTTTGGCTCATATATCCGTAACGGGTCCTCCAGAGCAATTTTCCACCTTGTACGATGGTTATTATTTCTTTATATCTATGTTTAAAATTTGAGGTGGGATAATGGCGGCTTCTCAAGAGCAACGAGGTAGGCGATCTTTTGCACCAACGAACAGAAAACTGATGGCGAAAAATAACCAATCAGAACCTCCCAAAAAAAAGAATTTGCCTAAAAACGGAACTTCGTGGTTCTGCGCAGATTTACCAGTCAGACACGACATCTCAAGGTGGAAAAAAACTCGCTGAAAGCGAATTTTAGAAATCAACACAACTTGACGTAGAGACATGATTGGCTAAAAAATACAACGGTTTTTGATACATCGGAAAATCAACCAAAAATCGGAGACTGGGCGAAACGCTCAAGGTCGCAGAGGTATAGGGAATCCCATAGCGAAAGCAACGGAACGATTGTAATATCATGGGGGAACTCCGTTCCCATGACAAAACACTCAAAATCTGTTGCCAACAGAGGAGTTAAAAATTTGGACATTTTTCTCTATTCTGTAATTGAATAAAGTTACATTCCTTTGAATTTTTGCAGGAGTGATGCTCAGCTTCGCCAGACATCAACCAGCACAAGCAACTACGATCAGTCTGCTTCTGATGTTCCATCGCACTTTCAGAGGAGAAAAACACAACACACCTCCGACTCTGATTCAGAGGTAAATTCCTCCACTGAAGGATTTTTTTCCTCGCTAGATTTCTTACGCTTGCATTCTAATAAAAGAAAATAATGGTACACTTATGATCAAACCATTTATCTCGAAGGAGTCGAAGCATAAGAACAGTATCCTTCCCAAGTGGTGAAAGAAGCAGTTTAGTAATTCTTTATAACACCAAATTTTTCTTAATAACGTATCAGTTAAATTTTTCATGAACAATCACACCAATGACTGAAGTCCTCAAGGGGCACTGAGTCTACTTTTGTTTTTCAAATACAAGCTCTGGCTTTTATTTTGCAGGCATCAGATGGTCGGAGTTTGGACTTGGCATCATCGCACAGCAGTGACGATGAAGAAACCTCAACCAACAGGTCCCAGAAACGGACTGTGAGTGCCTCGCCGTTGCCTCCTAACATCAAGGGAGATTCAAAACGGTTAACAAGTGTTGAGCCTCCTCAACATCTAAATGTCATCACTAACTCACAACTGTTTCCTAATCTGAAGCCGGTTTATCCATCCCGGTGGGCTAGTCACTTAACCGATACGTACAATGCAGGTACTATTTTAACATTTTCTTGATTTAATTGTATAGCTTCCAGTGCAAACATGGCAACCTCAATTGTATTTCTCTTTTTAAAAATCTTTATTTTATAAGGTTCAATTCAGATTCTTTTCTCTCCAATTGAATCAAAATGGTTTTGAAATATTTTCTCTCGGTAAACACAATGTAACCAGAGAATAAAATTAAACCAGCCATGTTTAAGATGCTTCATTTGCAATATCTGTCACTGATTGATTATTTAGAGCATTAATTGCATTCACCAGGAGTAGCATAATAAAGGGAGTTTAAAAGCCAAACTAGCAGTGAATCAATCAATTTTTTTCTTTCCCGACATTCATTCTTGATTCCTCTGACTAAGACTTTAGTTCCAAATTTTATATGTAGTATTGATGAGCTGTTCCTAAAAGATTATGTTTCATGCTAATTTGTTGTTTTGTTGTTATTGTAATATTTTCATTTGTTATTGACCTGTATTATGGCTGTAATTGCAGCTTTTTATGTACAAGAATTTTTAGGTAAATAAATAAATAAACCTCTAGACTAGGTAATCATAAATAGTAAAAGATGGATACTCTTTGTCATAGCTAATCCTTCTCTAATTTTGTTTTTAAGTGGAAGAAGAGCAAGAGCCATCACATGCACACCGCTGGCAAGGAATGCTCGGATCCACCATCACAGACAACGAAGCCAACATAGTCACTACAGCGCGAATGACCTATGAGCCAAAGCTGATCAACTCAGACTCGATTTTAGGTCACACGCAAGATATTTATGATGAGGAGTATAAAAAGGCAGAACTGGGACATAGGCTGTACTATGATCAAGACGTTACTCCTGGCTCTGATGTTGAAGAGAACAAGTCCACGCTTGGAGACAAATACTCATTTCCCTATACTGGTGAGTTGAACTGATCAGATTGGCTTATTGTAGGCAAACTCAGTGTTTCTCATTTTTTGATATCAATGTATTATCACAATGTATATCAATGTACCTGTGATTATCTCACAAGTATGCATACACCTGTTGCTGTACTAAGTTTTTTTTAACTGGCGCAATAATTAAAATCCTCCTACTGTTTTTCTAAAATTTTTACCTTTATTTTCTACGTTTCCTGCAACTCATCAGCAGAGCATTGTTAAACTCTGTCTTTTAGCATCAAGTGCACAATGCTTGGTTTAGACTTCTGCCGATAGCCTACTGTAACCTGATCAGTTGTTTTGACCGATGCAGCTGTCAATAAGTATAAAAATAGGTTAAATCCCAGTGAATTGCAATCAGTCCAGTACCTGCTTCAGCACATCTAAGTTCAAGTACATATCCAAAAAAATTTCTCCAAAGATAGCATATAAAATGTCAGCTCAAGGAAAAAAAAACACATTTTCAAGGAAAATCTTCTCCAAAGGGAAAACTTTCTTCTATCTTTTAACTAAAAAACTGGTCAATTTTTTTGGACTCCATTGATATGTGAAGGCAACACTTTCAATGGCCTTTTTATACCATCCTCAGATTTATTTTGCTCCCTTGATCCTTCTATAATTTTTCATCCTTTACTCTCGGAATCCTCATCGAATTTCTCTTTCCTTTGCTCTACAGCCGAAGAGGACCACTGCCGTGGCTCGCCCAACTTCGTGAGCGATCTTCAGAACTCGTACTCAAACAGTGCAACACTGCTGCACAATCGAGAATTCACGGAGTCGCCGTATTCGCACCACAGTGCTGAAGCCAGCTACATTCCGAGTAGTGGTGCTCGAGCGTCACCGTATCAGAACCTCGATCGAGCGCAGTACTCGCATCTTGAGAGCCATCCGCGGCATGTTCAGATGCAACACAGATCAGAGCACCCCATTGAAGATATTTCCGAATCTGAGTGAGTATCCTGTGATATCAACTTCCTAAAGATTATTTGCAAACAAAAAATTGATTGAAATCCAGTTCTCTGAAATCGGCTGGTTTCTGCTCTTCGCTCATTTGCAACATTTGCTTAGTTAATACACTTCATCTGAAGTGTGTATCCTGTGTAATTTTTTCAATAATCTTTCAACAAATTAATTGCAGCTCTTAAAAACTTTACTTTTTCTACTCTTCATATATACGCTCCACTTATCATGAAAATAACTTTTCTACTTAGCTTTGCTTAAAAAAAGAACTTTAAAGCCAAAGATTTTAATCATGGATGAATAGAAGAAGCCTAACTCTGTTTTAAATGAAGTAAAAAAGTACTTTTTCTCTGCCTAAAGAGTAAATCTTCTTTCATCTCGGAAATTTAAATCTTGTTCTTGACTTTCTCTCATTAATCTTATTAGACTGTCTCGGATCTGTGACACCTCAAAATAGATTACATGGATTAATTTTGATTAGAGGTTACAATATGGAACTACTATTGTTGACTCATTCCAGAAACAACATATGCACCATTATTTTCCTTATTTAGATAGGTGCTTCTATGGATGAGTCAGAAATATTAGTTCCTTTTTGCAAAATGAAGTTCAGCTGGATCCAAACGAAGCAGTTGTTGACTTTTTTAAAATGTATCATTCTTTCATAGAGCAGCAAAACGCAGATTAGTCAATTGCTTTTTGATTTGCTTTGTGTGGATCCTATTCAGTAGCCTTGATACTCGCGTGTGTGACAACCGGAGCAGTTTAAATGCCTCACAATCTGTCAATTCATAAGCAGTCCTTACAACCTGTACCTTTTGTCACATCTGCATGTCTTTGAGATCATTTCCGGTCATCGTAGACTTCCAGTAATGTTGATTCAATTTTTCTTCTTTTCCTTTTTTGCCTCTTGGTGGTGGTTCTACTACTAACTATGATTTAGAGAGGAGGTAAGGATCTAATGTATCTGATTTTCTTTTCTGTCCTTCACAGTCTGTGCTATCCTTTTTGCACATTTTAGAATTTAAAAATAGGGCCGACTGTCATCGTAGAATATTGTCAATTCAACTGTAAGTTTGGGCATTGGTCATCATGGGGTTTAAAATGTGATAGATTGCTTTAGAAATATTGCGTTTTAAAAGTAAAATTCTCATATTGGCAGTACACCAAGAAAGGTAACAATTGTGTACTTTGAGACTTGTCTTTGATTGGCTATTGGTTTCAAGATAGTATTGCTTTACTCAGCTATTTCAAAAACTATGACAACATGAGTAGCTATCTAAGTAGATTCTCACAGTTGGTACAAACAAGGATTAAATTTGTGATATACCATGCTAGGGGAAATTTAATAAGCTTTGTTGTTCAAACGTCAGAAACAGTATTTGCGGGGCAATTTGAAAAACTTTGTAACTACACCTTCATCATCGTTTTGAGAGAAAAGTCACTTTGTCATTTAAATATAGTCTTGCGGAAAAGTCAGGCTTCCAAAAATTCATGAGCCCTGGCGTCCGTTGTTAATAATGTCTAGCATGGCTTATGTCAAAATTTTCAATTAATTTTGACTTTCGTCATGCAAAAAATGGTAAGAGCCCCAAGAGCCTTGCTAGGCATCATGAAATTTATGGCAAACTAAATTATCATGGAGTATCATAGCAAAGGAACAAAACAAGGAAACAAGGCTGAAATATATGTGTATTATGCAAAATATATGTATTTTAGCCTTGTTTCCACTGTTTTCTTGTTTTGCGTCTACTATTTCCGTTTTGGGCTGCCTTTGTACCTTGGTCTTTGTTCATAGCAAAGGTATATATTGGGGTTGCTTTTCAACTGGGAGGTGAACTAATGATCCTTGCAGTCAGGAAAGTGTCTGATATCTTATTACAGGTAGGAGTAGATTTTTGTGGGTAGGAAGGAAACATATGCCTGTTTTCCTGACTGTTTCTCTTGTCAATTTCTATTTGCAAACAAATTAAGTTTCATCCATTCTTTTTACTTTCCTGAGATTCTAAAATATTGTCAAGACTGGTGAAATAATCCATTGTAATGAAAGTTTCAACTAAACCTGCTATGAAGTAATTATTCTTAGGCCATTGATAACTGATGAATGTGTGTTATTCTTTTCCAGGAAAGATACCAATGAAACGCCTGTCTAGCAAAGATAATCCACTCTCCAAAGTGCTGTTACAACATGGCGCTCCCTGGTAGAGAACCAGTACCTGAATATTGGTAAAATTTTGTAAAAGTTTAACTTTTGGGCACATTATGCCCAGCCTGTATATTTGTAAATTTTACCAAAAGCAGACAAAAATCTCTGCTCTCTATTGCCATATTTTAAAGCCATATAAGTTTTCATTCTTTAGTTTGTAAATCTTATTTTTTTAGACCAAACTACACAAATTTGCTCTCACTCCAACATAATAAGAGTGTGGAATGGCTGTGAGACTCAGAAAATTTAGGAATTCCAGCGATACTGTCATCTACCTAATTTTTGAAGCTATTTGTTCACCTAATTAATTTGGTGTATTGATCAAAAAATAAAAATTTGTGCAGTTTGGCCTTGGCTTTTCAATAGCTCAACTGAAGCCAATTCAGTCAAAACCGCATTTATTTTTTTGTTAGCTATTCAATTTTAATAACATTTTAGCCAATTTTTTTTTGTTTTTAAAAATCCTTCCTTCAGTGTCTGTGAAAAATTACTGTTTTTTTCACATGCATTTATTATGAGTCATTTGTTTTTAACTTCAATGGGAATTATGCCTCAAACGAAACCATTTATACGCTAATCCACCCTTAAGAAAGAAATTTGTTTAGTGCTGAAAGCATGAACTACCCGGCCTTGTAAATGATATGTGTTTTTTTTTTTTCAAATGATTTCTAAGAAACATAACAGGGGATGATCGATGTTTGTTCTTTTTATGTTGCACAAATTATGCAACTCTCAGTTTAGGCTGTGAAAAACCATAAGCATTTACTTTTTATGGATGATTTTTTGTTTCTATTATGATAAACAGTAACTGAATGCCCACACTCTTTTTGTTTCAAATGAATTGAAAAGTGCGCTATCCCAAGGACATTCATTGCCCCCCCCCCTCCCTCCCCGAGGGGCTTTTCATGTGTATATGTATGTACAATCAAATTAATTTATTTTACAAAGTGTGTATTTATTTCTTATATATAACTTATGACCAGGGCTCCCATGGAGTTGTTGTATTTTTATTTGCTTTTTTATTTTGGCCAAAATGATTTAAAACACATTGTTACAATCATCAGATTCATGATATCAGTATTAAAAAATATTGACTGAAATTAGTTAGCCATGGGTCTGTTTTTCAGATGCCTGCCTAAAAGCTCAAAAATAATAGCGAATTAGAAATTTTGAATTATGTTCCTCGATGAAACACTTAAAATAGACGTTTCATTCATTAATTCAGAGTCAAATGTTTTCAGAGTTTAGCAGTTGAAGTATAGAAGAAGGCTCGAAGCTTAGCTTTCATTCTTAATTGGCGCTTTTTGCCAAGTCCTACAATAATTACTCTGCCAAGTCAAAGATAATTTTAATTCAAAATTAAACAGAAGTATTCTGTAAAAATACGGTTAAAAGCGTTTTTGAATTAAAAAAGTATGCATTTAGCTTTTAAACATTTTTATGCAGTAGCTGCATCAAGTTCCTTTTTTGACATGAAATAATTTAAATCGTACTCTACTCTCATTGTTCTGCCTGCTCCACCCCCCCCCCCCCATCTTTTTTTTGGAAAAAAGTAAGACTGATTTATTCACTTTTCAATGACTGTATGTACTCAAATGTTTTCATACTAATGGCTAGCGAATTTAAAAATGCTCATCGTCCTTTTTATTAACTCTATAATGTATAATTTTTTAAACTAACTGTGTCAGTTGCTTTGCACAGTTTTTGTCCATTTTTTCTTTTATATCTTTTATATTTTGATTGTTTGTAATCATGGTTGTACTGTAAGATTAGTATTTATCTTAAAAGCCATTGAGTAGAAACAGGAGAGAAATGCATTTCTTACAAGAAATTTTCAATAACAAAGATCTAGAAAAAAGCATGTAAAATTGCCTTTGGCAAAACGTAAAATATAATAACTCATAAGACTTATGGGAATGATTATTATTTGATCTTTTGAAGAGTTGTAGTTTGCTACAGCAATGCCACTCCAATGCCCTGACCCTTCGAGGTTACAGGGTGCGGGAGGGACATAGTCACCCAGTAAGTAATCCGTCTGCACTGTTCGACTGGGTTGTGAAAAATCGGTAATCACTCGCAGTGTGCGCGACTGCCAGCGCTACCTATCAGTGTAGATTGCATCAACACAGGTCCAACTCAGTGGAGGCATGGCCGTGCTCCGAAAGTCCGTGCTCTGCAGCGTCTGCCACAGTCTTTGATAAGACCTTCCGTTGGCTATCAGGCGGCCGCTGAGCCTTGCGGAAATATAGATGATACTCAATGTGTCAATAGTACCAAGATATGTTAAGGAGTACGGTCCAACTTCGGGGTGCACGACGGCAGTTGCCAGTTGCCTTGGCCCCTTGAGGGCGCCTCGCCGGCCAGCCCGGCCTTACTTACTTACTTACTTACTTACTAGTTTGCTACAGCAGTTGATTTTGTGTACTTAATGCTTCTTATTCTCATATTTTATAGCAATTATATTCTCCTTTATCTGTCCTTTTCCAAGTACTTAATTTTTTTTTGTTTTATTTGAACATCACATTCCAACAGCTAAGCTATATTATTCTTTGATTTCTCTTTGGTACTGGTTATTTTTTCCCCATCTTTTAGATATTTTTGACAAAACATTCCTTTTTATTTTGTGATATTATTTTTATTTTTCTGTACTTAATGTTTCTTGCCATGTTATTGCCCTTTTTCGTTTTTTCTTACTGTCATCAATCAAGTTAAGTTAATATGTGTGACCCTCAAAGTGATCTGAAACAGCTTGTAATTCTTTCACCCAACTTTAAGGTTGTCAGAATTCAAATTTATTTCATAAAATGATATTTTTTCACCTGAAGTATAAACGTGTTACACGTAAGTAGGATTAAGAATCCCTGCAATTTACAGACTGCAAATCCAGGGTGAAACAGCAGGAACACAATACATACTTCGTTCGCGAAGTTTCAAAATCTCAACTTCCATTTGATTTTCTCAAAGAGAACAAACCAACTCTATTGTCTTAAATGTCCCTAAGATATTCTTAAAACAGAGAAACAAAAATTAGATAAGTTCTCTAAGCAATGACGTTTAGTATTTTTCTTTTTAAAAAATAAAGAAAGATAGGAAGTCTGCAATGTTGCAAGTCGAGATATGTGCCGGCAGCTTCACTGTTCGTAAGTTTTGTGAGGATGGAAAAAAATATTTTACAGCAATTCTCTTTGATATTATTTAGGCTCCTTAATGTTTTACAACGATGATCTTGGAAAAGTTCAATTTTAAAATAACCCAAGAAAAATCAGGAATAATGCCCCTCATTTTTATATTATCAGCAGAAGTTTCTCTACAAATAATTTTATTAAAAATTAAAGACAGAATCTCAGGCATTTATTAGTTTTTTATATTTTAAAAGAAACAGTATTTAAATTTTTTTGTCTTTTTGCCCTTATATTTATGTCGTAGCTGTTGTATGGACCAAGTTGACATTTTCTAATTTGCCATAAGTGCTAGATGTTGAGCGAGTAAAATTTAGAGTCCACAAGATAAAGTAAAACTATCATGAAGGATTATCTGGCTATGAAAAAATTGGAAGTATCCAAGTTTAAGGTGGGTCAACTTCAGGCATGACTTTGAAGTCAGGCACCATGGTTCTATGTTGACAAGGTTTTACTGGCCAATTGTGCAAGAGTTGTAAAAATTGCAAAATATCCAGTATTTTCCCAAACAAACTAAGAATCCGTTACTGTGATTGAATTTCTGATGAACTGTTTGTAAATAAGTATTTATAACAAAATATCTGATGTTTGTACTTTTTGCATTCTATTTTTTTGAGCTGAACGCTTTTTAAAGTGACAAATGATTTTAAAATTTTTAACCCTCTAAATTTTTTCGTAAGTAAAAAAGTATTTTCTATCTCTAAAGTTTTTTGCCTGTCTTTTTATAAAATTGCTTATCTCATTAAAATAACGAATTAGCTGCTTTTCAAGCAACCTACTCTTGAAAATGTTTTCTTATCCATTCCCTGGAAACATTTTATAATTTATTTTAAAACGCCTTGTCTCATGAAAATGTCTAAACAATTGTCAATTGAAACAGTTTTGAAGTGCAAATTGAATCTAGGTATTTAAATTTTTATTGCTTCAATTTTATTCTTAAGCCAATGTACAAAAGGTGTTAAAATGTTTACAAGATTAACCTCCGCAAACTATCCGTGTGTCATTTCCTCTATTTGTATTATTTCTCATTTTTAGTTCCTTCAAAATCTGTCCATTAGTTCTAACAAAATTCCCTATTTATTGAAGCAAATGTTTGTTTTATATTTCTCTTGATCCACTGTTCTATACTTGTGTGCAATAGTACCCTCCCGGTCCCTTTTTTTCCTGCTGTTTTGTGTTTTTTGCATCTCAAGATGATGAAAAAACACTCAAACTTTTGCTGTCTATGTAAATAATTTTCCAATGACCTGATGAAAGAAGAACCAATTATCTTTCCACTATTGCCCCTGCACAGACTTCAAGTCAATTTTAGCTAATTTAAAATCATTCTCCTTTTTTGCAACTCTTGTTTGCAAAATTAACTCTTCTTTTCAAAAGTATTATCTTGTGATGAAGAAATAATTGAATTTCCCACTGCAATTTTTTTGAAGCCTCTAATGTGAAAGTTAAGGATGTGTTCGTCCTCACTTCAATAAACCTTTATAATTATTGTCAATTACGTTTAGTAAGTCAATACTCATGGAAAAAATGTTTGACCATCATCACAGTTTTCCTTTAAAAAAGGTGCGTTTCAACGCAGAAGCTCCACGTTTTTTTACAATACATTTTCTTTTTCTTTTTTAATTGTTGATACTCTAATTAATGATCTTCAATTTATATCGCGCTCATCTGCAATATTTTGATGAAAATAATACAAAGCATTTAAAGCATGACCTATATAAATCGTAAGCAAGGTCGACAAACAAACTTTTATTCTCTTACACAACCTGCCAGATGAATTGCCTTTGTACCTAAAATTTCCGTTAGAACAAGTCAAAAGATTGTAAAAGATCGTTCTTAGTAACATCACTCATTATGATTTTGTTTTTTTCCTCCTTTGATTTAGGTATTTTCTTTATGTTGTTGCGCCATTTTGTGATTTCGAAATTTGCTCATGTTGCCTTGTATTTTGAATAAATTGTGTCTGTATTTATAAACATGAATTGAAGTTATCATTCATTTCACCTTTTATTTATCTCCTTAAATAGGAGAAAAATCTTACCTGTTAAAACCTTCTGCGTTTATCTCAATTTGCAAGCACAAGGCTAATAGTTGGAGAGTAGTGGAAACTGTCTAGGAATTTCATTTATTTTCAGATAGCAGTAGCCATAACCTGGAGAAACTTTCAGCTTTTACAGCCCATGGTTAATTTATTTGCACTGTCAAACAACATCACTGTTTAAAAACGTTACAGAAGAACATGATTTAATTTCAATACCGGAACAGTTTTATCATGAGTTTTATCTTTGCACAGTTTTGTTCACAACAGAGGGGAGATACATTTTTACCTCTGCTATTTGAGCCGAGTTAAGCTGATAAGAGCCAACAAATGTTTTTGGAAAATTACGTTAAGAGAATTTTTGAGCTCAACGAATCCTGTATATACTTTCCTCAACGATTCAAAGTCAAGAAATAATTTTTGGTTGATGAAAGTAGAGGTTGAAATTCATATGCTTCATTGTGTCTCATAAAATGAACTCATGTAAACTGGAAACACCTTTTTTCCATTTAAACGTGATGTTTGTCTTATCCTTGCTGCTTAAGCCATGGTCTATGTAGACTACACAAACTCCTTTTTTCAAAGCATTTCCCTCCTTCTTCTACCTTGGCAAACGAGTATAAATAATGAATATAAAATTTTCTTCCGAGACCTTAATAAGGATCGCTAAGACATCAGTCATGCTTCTTGGCCTCAGAGGGATGTTAAAGAATATGGTTGTGGTAGGGTTGATAACTCTTTGATCTTCCACCCTTTTACACCCCCCTCCCCTCTGAAGTGAGTCTTAAGAACCAGTAGGTAGCTTGTGATTGTAAGATGAGGCACTCCTAACAGTCTCAAATTACATCATTAAAATATGCGACATAGAGGCCTGAAAGTGACAGAAACTCACTGCAATAAGTCTCCTTGCGTTTATAAAAGGAAATAATATGCCCAAGAAGTCCTTAGTATGATAAGTGATCTCGGGAGTCAAGGTTTGTGCGCTGAACATTATTCGATTTTCACTAAACGTGTATTTTTGACTTCCAAGCTGTGTTTAGGTCCCTCAAGTTTCTTTTTATCAGGATTTTCAAAAATGTTTGTAGGCCTTTGAGCATACGCCTCTTTCAGTTCACTATCAACTGCAAATTTGAAATAAAAAAAAAAAAAAAAATCATCTAAGAAAAAAGACAATTTTGCAAGGATAAATAAATAAGCTTCAAATAATTGAATTTGTTTCATCAACCCAGGAGTTTTCATTACTCAGATGCGGAAGCGTGTACTAATGTTTCACTAGAGTTGGAGATTTCTTCATTCCTCTTAATTCTTACGTTCTACAATTTTTATCCACTATTTTTTTTGATAGATAATACTTGAATTTAAGTCCAAATTTAAGTTTTTCTCAAACTTTCAAGGCTTCAAAACGAGGAATAGAGAATTTTTACCTGTGTATTATTTAGAGAGGAGGTGTTCTGAAGTTTATTGCCATCAAAGCCATTTAATTATCCAATCCCAAGTAGCATTTTTCAACGGAAAAATCGCGATTTTATCGCCGATAAAGTCGCGATTATCCTCGATTTTATCGGCGATAAAATCGCTATAGGATCATCAACATTTGAGCGATTATCCTCGATCTTTTCGCGATTTTATTGCGATTTTATCGGCCCGAAAAAATTGCGATTTTATCGCGATAAGATCGAGGATGATCGCTCAGATGTTGATGATCCTAGCGATTGATAAAATCGCCAAAAAAAAGGGGTTAAAGTTGTCAGCCGATTGCCGTTAGGTTCAGCCGTCAGGTCCTTTGACGAAGACGAGCGTAAAATCCCCGGAGCCTCCGCGGGGATTCGAATCCCAATCGCTACGGTGGAAGGCCAGTACATTGTCACTATGCTATGACCGCTATATGACTTGCGTATGCGAATTGAAGCCTCTTATACATGGATCGGCGCTTCGCAACCTCACAACTTATGTCTTTGCGTTGACTGACACCGATTTTTCATTGGATTTTTTTTTTTTTAATTTTCCCTCCTCTGTATTTTATTTCATACCTTGAAATACGGTTGGTAAAATAAGGTTCTATTGGTAATCTCATCATTCTGTCTCTGTAAAATTACCAATAATAGTGAGATGGCAAAGTTACCGATGGACCTTGGGAAAAACGCCAATAGTTTTTATCGACTGTGGTAGAATTACCGAGATAAAATGGTAAAGTTACCGGGGATTGATTACCAATAAAAGTGGCATTCTTACCTGAAAAAATCAGTAAAAATACCGGTTTTCAGGTAAGCTTACCAGTCTGTCTTTGTAACATTATATTGCAATAAATCGCGACGTCGATAATATCGCGATACATTCTCCAATTAAATCGCAATTTATCGCGATCACTGCTACTTGGGATCTAGAACTGCCACATAAACTGCGTTCAAGAATGACATTTAAAAAAAGTATTTCTGCATATTCTTCTTCCTCTCTTTTTTCTCGTAGGTAACATATTTATTTTCCTACTAAAGCTTCTGACAAACCTAAACTGAAATTATGTACCTACCTAGGTAAAAATGAAAGATTTAGTTAAATTATGTGATTAAGTAATTTGTCAAATTAAAGTTGGAATATAAAATCTAATCTTTCATAAATTATAGTTAAGAGGCAAATAACTTAACGAAAGTATATCAATTGAACTGATAAAATGATTAAACTAATTACCTATCTTTTTCCAAAATGTACCAACATTTTGGACTACTGCAAGCAGTTATTTGAAAGCTATAATTTGTCCGAATATAATGCTTGCAAAATTAGGTAAGTACCTTCAGATGTTGATTAAGGATTGGGCACTATGAAACTTTAAACCATTGATAAATATCTGGATGACTAATGAGATTGTTTTTATGTTTTTCAGGGTCCCGACCACGAGGCCTCTGTCTCAAAAATGACTATGGGTCATAGATTCAATCATCTTCTGTTCCTTTTATGGTGCTAATAATTATTTAAATTTTTTCCAGCCACTCCGCCTTCATCTTCTCATCTTACTTTCTGTGTACATATTTCCTCTCTAACAAGCACAATTTTTTCTATTTTTCAGTAAACCACATTCTTCGGATCATACACGCTCTTAATTTAAAATTGCAGACCAGCTCAGACTCCGAAAATAATGAAAAGCGCAGTATAGGAACGGAGTTTTTAGGGAAACGGTCTTGGAAACCTCGCAACATTGGCTTGGAGGAAACACTTGCAATCTAAAAAATGAACTGTGAGTATTTAAAAAATTAAGCATTGAGCATTTAGCATGAGTCTCAGGATCCTTCTCTTAATTTTTTTTAGATATTCTTGAGGCTCAAAAAACGTTTTACTCAAGTTATCCTCAACTTACAGCCTCCTGCTTCTGAAGAGACTAAATTCACTATTAAGTTAATGTTCTTCTTTTGTACCTCATGAAGAAATCAATTTAAAGCAAATCAGAGAAATCAGTTGCTGCTGAATTTCCTCAGCTTTCTGAAGAGCTAAAGTATTTTAAAAGCGGCCGATTATTTGCGGAAAAAAGGAACTTAATTTTTACAGTTGCGGTGCGTAGGAAAAAAGGAGCGTTGTTTATGTTTGAAAACTAATATATCTCGCTATTGTTTTTTATTGAGCATGGGGAGCTCTCGAAGGTGATCACTTACTTCCATCAGTTACAAATTGCAAGTAGTATATTCTGTTTGTCTGATTTCTATTCTTTCTTGCACCCGTCCCCCAAAGATAGGTTTTGCTGTGTTTCCAATTATCCAAATACGAAATTAAAGCCTGGAATACTATAAAAAACGAGTATTTTGACCGTTATGACTGTTTTTAGACTAAATTATGAAATTGAGGAACGTTTAATTAAAATGAAAAAAGATTAGGCAAAGAAGAATTGAATCATCGCAATAGAGTTGGGCAGTTTGAGGCAAGTTATTTCATTTCAAAACATCACAAAAGACAATTTGCTCTTCCTGCAATTAAAAAATTCATTTGATTATGTGAATGATTAAAAATGTGATCTACAATAAAAAAAGTTTTGAATAAATCTAAGATTTCAATAAGTAGTAAGAAATCCATTTCATTTTAATTTCTGCCTACTTCTTTCAGGTTGCTGAAATATGAGGACACCCAGGACACTTATTCTACCTCTTCAACTTTTCCAAAATATCAATATCATTTCCAGAGAATATCAGTTAAGAAATAATTGCGGAGATGCAGTACCAGATTATGTTTCACTATCTTCATTCCCAGAAATCAACATTTATTTCACAGACGTTATCATTTTCTATTGGCTCCGGTAGGAGGATCTTAAAATAAATAGTTAAATAAATAAATGACATCAAATTGTGTTAAATTTTTTAAAAATCATAGAGACAAACCCAACAGCAAAACGTGAATAATTGTCTACCCGTATTTTCTCATTTGAATCTATGGTAAAGAATCGATTCTTAAGGTGTTAAAAGCAAACCTTCCCATGGGTTCAAATGGCGGATCAATTGATTCATCGTAATACAAGCCACACCAATGAAAAAGACCAACACACTTGATCAAGAGCCTTGGTTTCAGAGAATGAGACAAACTGTTTCAAAAGTATGGGTTTATTGAGAGAAATAACAACATATTTTGCGCTGTTTCATAAAATTATATTTACTCTGAAAAATGAGAGCAAATTAAAGATTTCTGCAAATAACTCAAGGAAGTATAATTTGCAAAGTTTCCTCTACTTCCTGATATTTTTATACAAGATCATCAAATAGACAACTAAATAAGTATAATTTCAAACAACAAAGAAAATATATAAGTTTTAAATAAAACGAAAAATAAAAAGGGCAAAATTTTTTTTAGAAATGAGTTTGGGTAATCAAACATTGAAAATATTTATACTCATATGATTTGCTCCAATTAACAATGGTAGTGTCCGTAGTGGTTGATTTTATTATTCAATGGATCAGTTGTGCCGCAGTCACAGAATCATATTTTGATGGTTTCAGCTAATAGATGAGCAAAAATGATGGGATCTGATGCTAAAATGCTAAGTTTCTAAACCTAATATTGACGGAAACATGACTTATTAAAAGCATGATGTATGACATCATCAACTGCGGCAGTGTATACCATGGTTTCTTCCACCTTTTTGTCATCGGTGTTTTACGTCGAACAACCGGAGCAAAAGTGCGTATCACTGATTGATGAAACCACGGTGGAAGAAACCACTTTTGCGGCGAATGATATCATACACCGTATTTTTTGATGAGGGATATCTTCAGTTACATTGCATATAGAAAATTCGTGTTTGAAGAGGTATTAATATTTTCCCCTGCTCTTTAAGCCTATTCAATGTATGATTCTGTGACTGGCGCAACTGACCCATTTTTACAGACAAGTCATTTTAACGAATATCTCAAGGAAACAATTATTCAGGTCCTCTGAAAATATCTTCGTAGCTTTAAGAGGCTTTGTAATAAATAAAGTGTGTCAAAAAAGTTTTGAGTATGGTAACAAAGCTGAATTTGGAGGTCAAAAATGAAGATATGAGAATTTCAATATTGCTAAAAGAATTCGGATAAAAAATCTCTTGTCTTCATTCAATACTGTATCACCACTTTTTTTAGAGCCTGATATGTATTGACTAAATACATTCATTGGATAAGAATTTTTAGCGACAAGTTCAGTTTAAACCATACTCACTTTTGTACACACACGCACACACTGACTGGCTTTCTTTTTAAAAAGCCATAAAACAATAAAAACAGCACCTTACCATACATCGAATTGAACCAGTAATTTTTTAATTGAAAAAGGCTACACTCAAATAAAAAAAAATACAAAATAAAATAAAACATAATAATTGTAGAGTAAATATTTACAGTCAATCTTTGTATTTATAGAAGTGTATGTTCTTTTGGAGGTCAATTGAGAATTGAGTAATGATTGATTTTGATAAAATGGGTCAGTTGCGCAGAATTGTATTTGGATGATTTACACTGGTAGACTAGCAAAAAATGATAAGATCTGTTCTAGCGTCAAGTTTCAACGTCCAGTATTAATGGAGATATTGCTAATCAAAAACACGGCACATGACATCATTCACCGCGGTAGTGCATACCCTGGTTTCTTTCACTGTAATTTTGTCAATCAGTTTATACAAATTTGCACTGGTTGCTGGACGTAAAACACGGATGAAACCAAGGTGGAAGAAATCACTGTACGCACCAGTGTGGTGGATTATGTCATACACCATGGGTTTTTTCCATGGGCAATATCTCCATTAATATTAGATGTAGAAATTTAGCTTCGGACAGATCACAATGACTTTTGCTGATCTGTGTGCTTAATCCATCAAAACTTGATTCTGCGACTACCACAATGGACCTATTTTCTTTGATTCTCTTTCTACCTGGTTCATTTAAGATCCATTCTTAAAAATGTCAGCACTTACAACAGTTGAAAAATTAATGGTGCGATTCATAATACTATTTCTGTCACTCGAAGAGTGCAATTGATTTTCTTAATTATTTTGGCCAAAACATTAGTTACAGCTGCTTTTGATTTCATGAGTATGATGACTTACAGTAATGATGTAATAGATCATTCGAATTATGAAAAGTCCAATACTATTATTTACAAAACCCAATTATAGGAAACGATGTGTCAATAAAATACTTGCTCCTAGATGAGATAAAAGAATCTTGTTATGTGCAACAAAATATTTTTGGGACAAAGTAGAAAATGCAACTGATGAGAGCTTCATTTTCAGGATTTACTTAATAACGCCTGAGCAAAGATTTTTTTTCTTTAACGTTTTGTCATTTATTATTTATTAACTAGTCTAATAGGAAAAAGGCCATTCTTTCATTCCTCGTATAAAATTTTCAGTGATATGAACAGGAGCGAGGAGCTGATGGTTACACTAAAATGATAGCAAATAAAACAACTCAAGTTAGGCATAGGATAAAGAACACATGCCCCTCAGAGTTTATGAATACATGACAATATGGTCATATGATGATAAGATCGTCACTATGACTAAATCAAAAAAAAAAATCACAATTTTTCTCTTACGCAGAGCTTTTGCTTAGACGACAGTGCTTTGTTTCAGCAAAGAATACAGTTATATTACAAAATAGCTTCTCAAAACTTCTTACAAGCACTTGCAGCCAAAGAAACATGAGTTTATCCTTGCTATCCATTTGTTTGTTTGAATTCTGAACATTTGTAAAATCTGTCCCAAAAATATCAAAGGCAGCGATACTATGACATCCTTTTGCTAATCAGTCACAGAAAAAAAAAAAACGAATCACATAACGTATACTTTTATAACAAAAAATAAGCATCAAAAAGGGTCAGAAAACTGATGATTAGAGCCTCTTTGTAGGAGGCATTGAACTATTCATTAGAAAACCTTAAAAATACATACTTATTTACAATTAATAACAAGTTTGAACAATGAATGTCGACTATTAAACTAGTATTGTTGCTAGAACAATGTGGCAATCAATTAGCTATCACAAAACTTTTTTATCAGCTTCGATACCACATAAACATGAATCACAGCCTCAACTCGGAGATGAGTCATTTTATCGTTCATGCAATATCTTTGATCTACCCTCGGTCAACGTATATAAACAAAAACAAAAACAAGGTTTTCCTTTCACATCTTCTGATCAAAAACTTCAACATCTCACTAACATGATTTCTAAAAACTTATTTAAGACTCTTGAGATGATACAAACTTGCAATACCTCCATACTCTTAATCTAGTGAAAAATGTTTAATATCCTAGTCTAGATATCATTGGCTAAGGGATGATACCACCTATCTGCAAACTAACGATTTACAGTATGAAGAAGAAACTTCTCCATTTTTGTAATTTTCAGGTTAGATTTGCGATTTTTTTTGTACAATAGAGCGTCTATAAAACTAAAACGTCAGCTTGCGTCTTTCATACAGTAGAATGCAGCAAAGTTGCTGTCACATTTTCACCAAAATTGTCAGTTAGGTGGTGTTATTCCTTAACCCTCGATATTGCATCTGCTGTTACATGAGAAAACACTAACAACTAAATTTCTCTATACAAATTGTGCATGAATGAACAGTTACATGCAACAGAAAATGATCCATCAATAAGCCTAGAAAAAGCTAGATAAAATACCTACTGCCATCCGAGGGAAAAAGGTCATACCTTTATAGTATACTATCTAATTTTTTCTCTGATAAAATGTTGACTGCCAAAACTGTGGTGGACATTGATTTATTAAATTTTCAGAATGACGTTCAGGCGGCAAAATATAGGCATGATATGAAGAATTTTTCTACCTTGGAAAGGCCTATAATGGTGGTTAGAAGAAAACATTTTAGGTTTCAGATGGAGCAAATTTACCAATTTTCATCCACTAGTTTTCAGTGTTATTCACACATATTTTTTTCCCCTATTCAAAATCATCCATTCGATTTTGATATAATAAGCAGGATCATAAGGCATAATAACTATATATTCATTAAGTCTGTTCAAACAATGACATTTACTGCGGTTATGGAATAGCACCGTGTGACCAATAAAGGAGTTTCATAGAAACACAGAAAGATATCTAATTTGAAAAATCTAATTTTATTTTTTATTCCTCACGCTTGCATTGTATTAACTCATATCTACTAAACATTTTACCAATGAAAGTTTTCATTTCCCTTTTTCTTTTTTTTTTAGAAAAAAGAACTAAAAATTCGAATGCAAACATAATAAATGTGAGTGTCAAGAAGCGGTAGAACCCCCCATCCCCTACTCCTGAAATCCAAACTTGATGCAAAAACTTTTCATGGGAAATGTTTTGTTGTTGTTGCCACAACATTGGTTCATGCTTGAAAATGTTACGTCACTGATCAGAAGTTTCATTTACATGGACCTAAAAATATAATCGATATTCTGAAATTAGACCATTTCCAGCATCTACATTCAAAAAACTCTTACAGTCCCTCTAAACTTTTACCAGGAAACATTTATACCTAAGAAGGACGAAATTTCATACCTCAGCTCTGAGAGCAGCCAAAAATTAAATTTTACCGAAACTTGACCAAGAAATGGGCGATTGTGAGTTCTTCAAATTTTTAAGTAGCGTTCAAGAGGTTTCAATTAAAAAGGAAGTTTTATTGTGCTGTAAGAGAAAAGCAACAAAATATAAGCATTTTTTTTGTGTGTGAAATTTCCCTGCAAAACCATTCTAACTCACTTTATACTATATTACTGTCCTACCTTCGTACAGGAGAAAAGAACAGTACAGCAACTGATAAGACTTTAGAGCACAACATACATGATGAAGGAATATGAGATTTGAATGCGTTGATGTTGCGATGCTTTCAAAGACTCTCAGTTCTACTCATAGAATCATGGTGGCCGATGTAAGTTTGGTTAAAAAAGACGGAATAAACTAAATTTTTTCACAGTCCAACTATGACATAGTGTCAACCATATTTTAAACTTCTCCGTAGTGTTTTCAATGACTATTAAAAATTTTGTTTTATATTGAGAGTAATAGCAGGGCGATAAAACAATTGTTAAAAACCTGCAAGTGAGTAACATTGAGAGAGAAAGATGTACTCAAAATTTGTATAGCTCGAAGGTACTGACACTTGTTTGAATAAAATGAGACTATGCAGGAAATGTGTCTCGTGTTTAACTTAGAACATTCTCTGAAATACCAACAGAAAGGGGAAAAAAACTAGAGCCATAATTTCAATAATGAGTTGCAAAGCTCATGTTATTTTCATGACCAAGAAGAGGTCTCTTCTGATTGGCTGAGAACTTTCACCAATTCCAGCGATAGGCTGTGCCTAAAATTTTGTCATTCATTTTAGATGGTAGATGGTTTTGTTTTTTTTTTTTTTTAAACGTAGAAAAAATTAGAAAAATCGAAGTATAAAACTTTAAAAACCTATTCTTGAGGCTCATTTCAATAAATTAGTGGATAATGATAGTTAGCACTCCTACGGTCTTAATCGAGATATCCTTCTATGGAGATCCTCAAAAACATGGACAGTGGCAAGATGCACAACTATGTAGTTACTTCCTGAAAAATGTCCAATATTTTGAGAATTTCAGTATAGATATTTATTTTTCATTCCAGGTGAGAGCACGGGTGGCACTAAGTCTCCATTCATTTCTTTAAGAGAGTCCCAGGAGTTGATTTTTTAAGTTTTTCGAACTCTTCCTCATTAAGGTATTAACGTTCTTCCCAATGACAAGCTGAAAATTTTACGCCTGGTCAATGCTAGAATTGGAGAGAAAAAACATACACTTATCCACTCGTTTAAAACAATCAGTAATCAGTAGCAATCAGTCTTGAAAACCAAACTAACAATATGTTAAAAACCAACAACTTACATGGAGATCATGACTTTCAAAACACTCCAGACTTTGCCTCATAAGCAATATAATTACAGGGAACCACAGAAACTTGACTGCAGTCATTTTCATGGTGCAGGGTCCCTTTAACATGAGAATAGAGCGGACGGGAGAAGTTGTCATACAAACTGCGCGATCAATTTATTAGTGTTGTTGTTAAACGCTCCATTGATTAATGGCTTGTTCACAACAAACCGATCATAGAACTGGTTTTGATAATCTATATGATTGTGGTTTGTTGAAGAGAAAGGTAGAATTGTCCGTTTCTTTTCTGCTTCCCGTGCGTCATACTTGGCCTGAGGGAAAAAACAAGTGTGATAATTCGGAGTAATACAAGTTTTGAGATATTAACATGGAATGTAGAGCATTGCTTATGAGTTTGGTTACCTCAAATTTTCCTTTTTTCCCCTAAAAAAAGGCAAGGTTCACTCAATTTAAGTGAAAACAAACAAGAGAAGGAAACAATATTGGTGCTGGGTTAGGCTTGTGTTATTATTTTAACAGTCTCAAATCCTGTTCCTTACCCTCAATGTTAAATACTTTAAAACATCAGAGGTACTCATACTTATCTCTTACACTTATTTCTACAATATTTCTTCCAAACAGCACATGATATTTAGGACAAATTATTTTCTTCCCCTTCCTCCTCTTCCTTTTTTCCTTCTCCGCTTTATTTTTGTCCTAGCCTTTCCATTTTGTCTTTTAGGTAACCCCCTCTTGACAGCTCCAGGTGCAACTGCTCTTCTATTTAGCTACAGGGTACCATGGCCTGCTGATTAAGACCCTTGAAGAGAAGAAATCCCGAAAATACTTCGTCAAAGCTTTGTTGCTTTATTATTCCGTTATCAAAAAAAGGTTAGAGATAAAATTCTTAAAGGTTAAAGAAATCACTCAAAAGTTTGAAAAAAAAAACATAAAATGAAGTATGCTTACCTTATTGTAAAGAAGAACCCCTAATATTGCAAGAGCCATGCCGAAAATATTGGTGCCCGTGACAGGGTTACCAAGAATGAGCAGTGACATGGCTATAATAAAAATTCGTTTGGAAGCACTAGCAACTGCGTAAGTTAGTGATGTGACCATTGACATTACGCTGAATGCCAAAATGTTCTGGAGCCAGCTTAGTACACCATCAGCAAAGAGTAACATGATGATGTGATAACCTTCTCCAGTTACCTTTTAACAAAAAAAGTACAGTCATTCACTTAAAAAGAATAAAAATCAATAAAATTTTACGGAAAGAAGAATTTTTGTCTTCCAAAAAGTAAACAGCTTTTTCTCATCATCGAAGCGGCCTAAGTATTTGATCAATCTGGCAAATGGAGTAGTTTGGATTTGTTGCAACACTCATGCATCAGTAAGAAAACCTAAAGGTTTTTTAGACATGACAAAAAAAAACTCAAAAGGGGGTTAATGGATATTTTCAAAAAATGGTTTAATATTTTAATATTCAATAGCCGTTGCAAAGCACAAAAGATTAAAAAATACCAGAAAAAAAATCAAGAAAGAAAGTGCGACACAGGTACATACCAAGATCGAGTTTCGGAAAACTTCTCTGAAGTCAAAATAAAACCAAACAGGCGTGAAAAGAATAAGAGCGAGTCTTCCTAATATGTGTAATAACCTGAGATGATGGACACCTGTGTCATGTAAGACCTATAAAACAAAGAACAGGTACAAAATATTTAAAGAAGAGAAAAATGTAAAAGCTCTAAAATTAGAAAGATAAAATGATATAACTGAAGGACCACTGTTTTCAGAGGTGCAGAAAGTTTTTTGTCTTCACATATTATAAAGCTGCCTATACAATTCTGTCCACATTAGACTACTTTTGCCTAAGTTTCCCTTATTAGTACTCTTATTTTCTTTCTTTTCATTTATTACAAATAATACGTTCAATTTCAATCATTTCTTCAGTTCTACTTATCACTAAGTACTTATATTTTTTTCTGTATGATTTAGATAAGCATTCATTTTGATTAATTATTAATTGATTAATATTTGTGCCCTGTGGTTCATATTATCTTGGGGACAAATATTCTCTAGTGTCAATTTTACTTATATTGTCCGCATAATTAAAATCGCATGTGTCTGCAGATAACCCGCACCTTTTCCACGATTTTTATGCTCGAAAATCAAGGTGCGGGTTATCTGTGAAACTCATGGACATTGCATACCTATCAGGCGCTGTTTGACGATGCGAGCGAAACAGACCATTGTGGGCGCGTATGGGTAACATGGGAATTTTTTTTTTTTACCTCTCAAAATCTTGGGTGTGGGTTATCTGCGGGTGTAAACGGTACTCAAAAAAAGTTTGATACATGATGAAACTGAGCCGTTTTCCACTTCACTCAAGATTATAAAAAAATTAAATATTTCATGAAGCATTTTCTTACCTTTTTGGAATAGATATTTTGAAGAGTATGTTGAAGGGTGGCAGCCAATGCACACACAAGCCCCATCAAATCAAAGGAGAGCTCAGTGGCAGTAGCAATTGCGACACCTGTTATGATTGGTACCAAGGATAGATAAACCTATGAAAAATAAATAAAACAATTGTAAAGCCAGAGATTATAAAAAAAAATATACTTAATACTTCCACAGATAAGTAATTAAAATTCATATGGTTCGACAGCATAAATTCCAAATAATACTGTAAAAATTGTAAAAAACAAATAGATTAAGTACCTCTGAGACTTTTGAAATAGATACAATTTACAGTGAAATTGTATGCTTCAATTTGAAGTAGTAAACCTTTGCTTACTCAAACTCACTGTTCTAATCTCAGTATTTCGCCTTTGTGGCTTCTGCCACTAACATTAATACATTGGATGGTGTACCAATACAAAAGAAATTTTTGTAGAGAGTCTAATTTTATTTCTTCCAGCTTTTCTATATACATATATTCCCATTCTCTACTCCTCATTTAGGTACTGCAAGAGATACTTACTGGTAAAGTCTGTTTTTCTCCAAGAATGACTCTTGACAAAATGACGGAGAAGAGGGGCATTGTGGCTTTTACTGGAAAAAAAAAGAAGAAAATCTTTTATGAAGAGTCGGTGACAAAGATAATCATTGGTGTCTGGGTTGAGTAAAAACTGGCTATTAAATTAAAAGCACGTTTTATCATAGACAATATTTTAGCTACCCTTCTAAACAATGCATGTTGTTGTGATGGCAAACCAGGGGTGCAAAGACTTCCCTGCCAGGCAATCGACCTGATCATGTGCCGGTCTTGTGAAATTTGCAAAATCAGGAAAAACAGGCAATTCCTCAAGAAACAGAAACAAAACATGGGAAGCCCCATGCTAATTACGACATTTCAGCAACTCCGATGAGTCCAATTTTTTCGGTACCTCCCAAGTTTTTTTCTCTTTTTCTTGGTCTCTGAGAGAAGCCATCATGAATTTTAATGGGAAAAGTTGATTGGATTTGGGAGAAGGCTTGGATCTTCCTTCATCCCTATGGCGAATTTGTAAAGAGGACTACTGTAGACAGTGAGTTACGACAGATTAATTGGATTCTAACATACAATGGCAGCCAATAGAGATTTAAAAAAACACCAAGTAGGCTTTAAATAAACTAATGCCTCTACATACAACAACACTGGAGATGTGCTGATAAGTAATTGTCATGAATTTTACATAGTGCAATATGTTCTTCTAATAATGTACAATATGATCAATTATGTTGTGTAGCTGTCATCAGCAAATAGAGGATCTAGAGGACAAATTGACTTGAATATAAAGCAAAACCGACTTCTTCTTACTCACCCGTATGTGCATACGATACAGGAACTTTGAGGATGCTAACGTGTGTGAACACAGATGCAATGAATTTTCCTAGGGCTAGGGGTACGATTAATTTTAAGTAATACTTCCAGCTAATATCTACAAACTTTCTAACACCCCACATATTGAAAAATGGTCCAGAATAAGCTGTTATGGACAGCAGTTGGACCATGGTCATCGTCATCGGATATGGGAATTCATTGAGTAACATCTTGCCGACAACATTGTTGCTTGAGCTTACAAAATACCACAATAGACACAAGAAAAAAACTGTTAACACTTCTCGCGATACAACCCTATCAGCCATGCTGGCATCTGAAATTCAGAACCAGTATGAGCTGAGACTGAGAACTTCTGTCAAAACCGAATACTTCAATCCATGAGAGTTGAGAGTATGAGAGTTGTCAAAATCCCACTGCTTAGATAACCTCAACTTTCTCACACAGTTGTCGGATGCACGTCATTCTTATGATTTTAAGGCGATAAGATAATAAGTTGATTTAAGTTGACAAATTCAATTATAAAGTCTTTCAAAATTTTAAATCTCGAGTAATAAAACTTCATTCATTAATTTTTTTACAACAAAATGAAATTAACATATGACTCTACGTGAAATTGGCAACGGCGCATTCTATTTAACCACGTTGGCATCAAAACAAATTTTTTTTGTAGGTCACGAAAAATCCTGTAGAGATCAGCACGTACACCCAAAACTTCATAATTTTGGCGGGGAATTTTGAAAAAATGAGAGACACGTCGATGGCGAAATCGATCTGTATTTTCATTTGACCAGATGAAGTGACTTAATTAGTTGATAATATTTTAACAATTAATTGGAAATCCTACACAACAAGTGAAGGTTGGTGTAGGCTGTTATTGAACCAAGGCTTCTTAGGACATAACATTTAGAAACGCTACCTATGACTGTCAAAGCTTCGTGGAAAACACTGTTCCATTCGTCAGAAATAAAAAAAAAAAAAAAATGCTGACAGTTAAAGTCAACAGAAATTTCAGAAAAGTCTAAATCCAAAAAACTCTTCTCTTTGTTAAACAGTCATGATTCTTTTCAATGGTTTGGTATTTCAATACTCATGATTCGATGGATTTCATTAATTTGGGTTATAAAAAGTTTTGCAGTAATTAATTAAAAAAGAAACAGCTTGATTAATGATAAAAATTTAAAAAAAAATTCTTCAGATGCTTGCACGAAGAAAATATTCATTAAATGGACAAAATTCAAAAAATTTAAAGATAATTTTTTTATTTTAAAAAGAACAAGGACATAAAAAATTATGCTACAGTAAAAAAATATCAACTGCAATTTTGATCAAATTCAAGGAAAGGGTGAACTATGAGCCTTCCTATAGAGTGACTTCTTTTTAAAGCTCACTTACTATGAAAGCTGCTTTTCTGCTTCATTAATTATGGTTAAAATGAGTCAATTTACAAAGGTTTTTAAAAAACTTATAATTTATTTATTTTAATGAACTAAGGAAGAACGATTTCCCAGGTGAAGAAACTTATTTACAACCAAAGAGAAAATAAGAGCCCACATGGAATGGGAAAAAAGCGCAGTTGCCTGATCCGGACCTGAGCTTCCCGCGCATGCTTTTCAGCCAATCAGACACCTGATGACCACTTTTGAATTCCTTATGGAGGATAACATGGGAAATCAGAACCATGTGCTTTTTTCAAATTCAATGCGGGCTCTTATTTTCTCTTTATTTACAACAAGCTAGGAGCTAATAGAAAGACTTGGGATATTGACAAAAAAGTTCAAGGTAAACACCTTAAATTCAAAACAATGATAGAAAAGTTGGAGTGACTCCTATCTAAATACTAAACGAGAGCCTTGGTTAACAAAAGCGAATGGGCATTATTTCAATTATCGATGGTGAAACTACCAGATGACGTACCTTGGTTTGCGACATTGCAGACTTCCTGTCATACTTCATTTTTTAAATGGAAAACTACTCAACATCAATTCTTGAAAACTTCCATGATTTTTCTTCTATGTAGAAAGAAAACTCAGTGAAAGTTTGATGGAATGATACTGATTTGTTCTCCTTCAAAAATGGAATGAGGCGGAGATTTCTTAACACTACAAACAAGATACATCGTCTGGTAGTTTCACCATCGTAATGCTTTTTTATATGTTCAGGCAAGTGAGGATTGACTTAGTTACAATTTAAAGATGAGAAGGCGTGCAAAAGGCTTCAGAGAAAAAAAGTAACTTTTTTACCCATATCACCATCCAAAACAAAAGTTTGTTTCCTATGCTTTCTACTTTCTTGAAAAAATGAGGAATTTTTCTTTCACTTTGAACAATTCGGTAAAAAGTACATTAAAAAATAAAAATAATCAAGATGACAAAATTCTGACCAATTATGTAACAAGTATTCTCCTCACTGATCAACTAGCACAGTGTTTTAATTCAAATGCCAAATATAGACTTCAAAATTAAAAAATAAAATTAGACATTTTTAATCAAAGAGCGATGATCATTCTGAATTTTTTTAATTTTACAGAGGAACTTAATGAAATGTGCATATAGTGGATTCTAATGTTATTTTTTATCTCACATATCTTGAAATCTCATGCATCAACCAAATCAAATTTATCAAGAGAAGACCAAATCACATTGATGAAATTTTGGGGAATTAAACTTACAAGTTTAAAACAAACTTATGGCGAGACCTTTTGGTATAAATATCGAAAGCAGCAGACATAGCCCTTTCCACATTGACCTTGTGTCACAATTAACAGATTGATCTCTTTGCCGATTATTATACTTGTCAAAGCTGATTCAACTGATGCTGATTTTTCATATTTGTTTGGTGCCATTCGATCACTAAGGCGTTGTTTACCGCAAAAGTCCTGATGGAAGGAGCGTCAGGCAATCAGCTGTACATCTAAGTTTTGGAGGACAGTTTAAGGAAATTTCATATACAAAGGATAGCGCCAGTCAAAATAATTGGTAGGTACACATGTAACACTTTTGGAGACACAAGCGAATAAGAAGAGCACAGTCAAAATGTCATCTTGAGATCTAAATTATTTAATAGTATTTGACTTTTTGAAAAATTTGGTCAATTCCTTTCTGTTAAGAATTTCATACAAAAAAACACACTCATCTCCTTTGCTTCAACCATTTTCTTCATTTATTGTTGACCATAAAGAGAAGCAAAAGAAAAATTATTCCTCCAACAGGATAGCTTGATCACTTCTACAGATAATTCCCTGACATTCTTTCAGATAAATTTTATTTACATTAAACTTGAATGATATTTTGAACTAAAAAGACCTGATTCACTAGCCACTGAACTCATCGGATTGGTTCCTTTATCTAAATGAGTTCCAGGACTTTGGAAAGAATCTACACCTCTCCTTTCTAGATCATAAACATATTTGTATGCCCTACCAGTTGTATCCCTGATTGAACTCTGGTTAGTGCTATCAAAAATGAGGTGCCTTGTCCATGTGTTTCCTCTTTCATCTAGCAGCCTCTGAATTGGTTTACTGAAAGGTGTAACGCTACCATATGATTCATTCAAAGATTCTTCACTATCCGAACGTGATAAGTTGTGAGGTGGCGATACTTCCTTTCGCTTAGGATCAAACAGACTTTCACCATTCAGGAAAATAATCTCTAGACATTTAATGGCCACATCAAAGTAACTGATGTTCTGCGATTTTGCACTACAGAAGAAAGCTTTTGAAACTGCTAAGAAATGTTCCGCTGCATCAGACTGCTCATCGCGCTTGATAGATTTTCTACGAGAATCTACCATTTCAATTTTTTCAACCTGATCTTCCTCCATTTCAGTGCTCTCTTCAACTAGATGCACTCCTTTACTGGTTGATGGTTCTTCGGATACACTTGAGGCTACTGATCGCGTAAGAATCTGAGAATTTGGACTGGTTTGTCTAGGCTCGCTAAATTTTGTTGAAGAGCCTGGCGATCGTAACTGGGGCTTCTGGTTGCTTTTTTCTGCTGATTTCCATGCTAGGATTGTTCTGCTCATACTTCTGTGCCTGCGTAAAGAATCTAGACATGTTTGTTTGGCTTGAAGAATCGCTGCATTTTCGGTAGAGGCTTCCCTGGTTTCTGTAAAAAAGTACTCCTCGAAGACTGAGCATTTGTTTTTAAGACTTTCATCCCAGTTGTAACGAGTGGCAAAATCAATGAATCCAGCCTGAAAAAGTAGAAAAATAAAAAAATATTGGACAGGATCTATTTACATGGAGCTATATCAGGTTTTGAAAATATTAAATTTTCTGGATGATCATACTGAGTTGACATTGTTCCAAGCAAGAGATGCATTACTTCTTCGCAATCTTTTGCAATATTTTTTCTTTTTTTCAACTAGAGCACATGCACACTTTTCCCTGTATTTATTACCAAATATTTCATTTAGTATACTTAAATGTTCATCTCAAAAGTAACATCGGAGTGTGTCCTTTAATTTGCAAAAAGAAAAACACATTGCATGAGGAGGGACTAAAACATTGTAATCGGGGCACACTTCTCTTGCTGACAGCAACTGATGGAAACTTCTGATCATAAAATCATGTGCAACAATTTAGAGGGAATTAAAAATAACTGTTACTTTAAGTATTAATTTTTTAAAGTTTTAATACTTTAGCCTTGTTCTACTCATTTTCAAGTTTTTGTTAAGTCGTTTTATGGTTAAGTTTTTGTGAAGAATATTAAAGTTTTGCTCTGCTTGTAACTCATTTTCTAGTATCCCAAATAAAATAAAAAAAAAATTGAAACCCCTGTTTTATGGATAAATTGATCAATTTTACAATCCAAATTTTTAAAAATAACAAAGCAGATTAATTCACACCAACTGAAATGACTTTACACTTAGGTTTTTTGGAAAACAATACATTGTCACCTTTTTCATAATGGTGCATTGCAATGCTAGCATCGACTAAAATGACTTCATACTAAGTTTTCTGCAAAAACAATATATTGGCACCTTTTTTATAATAGTGTGTTGCAAAACTAAAGTGCGTTTTTATAAAGTAGGCCATGAGAATATTGTCCTAGTTCCAGAAATGTTTTCATTGTCCGCAACATCACTAATTTACTACCATAAAATCTCGAGAAAGTATGAAGAGAAACTGCTTACCACTTCACAATTAAGCTCCCGAATAAAATGTTGTGTGTTTTTCTTATCAATGGCTGGATCCAAAGAGACAAGAAGGACAATTTTGATAATCAGACTGACTAGCATCTCTACAAGAAGTTGAAGAGTTGTCACATCAGAGTTAGAGATGTCTGGCAAAAAACTTGTTTCACATGGCAGTAAACTCGAGGACATGAAGTGAACATTGATTTTCAAACGCTGAAAATGAGGAAAAAGAACATCAAATTGAATGGCAAACCCACTGGACACAAATAACTCAGTCTACTGATCTCCTTCTGTTTTCACAAGATTTTCTTAAAATTACAATCACCCATCTAAATCAGCATATATAACAGGAAAATTAGCCTTATGAAGAAAAAGTTCCAAACTTCCCAGTCAAAAGTGTATTGATCAAAACTATTAGAAACAGCAAAATAGAGGTTCAGCATTTACGAATACATCCGTTTTTAAAATCTAAACTTTTCAAGTTATACTTCAGTTTTCTTATACTTCATCTTAATTATGAGTTTGAACATTCAAGCCGGCATTCTACTCTGAGTTTCAGTGTGGTATTTGTTTCCAATGATTACATTCTTTTCCTCATCGAATTCTCATGTGCTATGAAATGATTCAGTGTGTCAAAATCATTCATGACGAATTCTGAACTTTAAGTCATTTGAGGTTGAATGGTAGACAGTAAGCAGGTTATTATTCCTCAACATTTACTCTTGGAAAATTTTGAAAAATTATTTTAAAAAAAATAGGATGCCCACTAGAAACAAAGGCATGCAATACTCACGTAAATACAGTAACCTAATTCTGATACTAATTTTAAGGGAATGTCAACGTTTTTTAAAGTGATGATAGGTTTAGTACCTTTGAGTATCCGGCTGAGATAGCCGATAAGGCATGGTACACTGAGTGAAAGTCCTCAAACATCAAGAGATCGTTGTAGGGAGGCATTGTAACTGGACAGTTTGGATACAGCTGATGTGCTTCAGTAACAGGTATACTTGTTTGAAGACAATCAATTAGTTCAATTGTTTCTGTTCCGAAAAGATTCAAAGTTGCTGTACAATAAAGCAACAGCGATAAAAGCCTATAAAAATAAAGATATTACACAAATGAGATGAAAATAAATACATTGTTTTCTTGCGTAAAAATGCAGTATATGCACTGTGATGTCATGAGAATTTTAATCTACCTCATATGCTTGTAATACTGAACATTTTTATTCAAACTTTAAAGTGCAATGTGAACCATTATTGTTGCTCGTCACGTCTCAAAAATGCTACTTTGTACATTCATCTTATGGAGTCATAAGGCAAAGAGCAGATTGAACAATTGAGCCTATATTTTTCTCAAGGGCCCGAGTGCCAAAACCAAATTTTCAAGAAAAACGGGGTAAACTGTGCCATTCGATATGCGCTTAACCGTTGTAGCCCAAAATATATGTGTCTGAAGAGTACTTATTATAAATAAAGTATTTCATAAAATATTGAACGCAAGCTGAATAGTACACTTTTTTCCATTATTCTTAAGACTTGGATTTTGGCGCTTCGGCCCTTCAGAAAAATATCTACACGATTTCCAGAAAAATGTTTTTTTTTTCAAATGGCTTTTGATTAAAAAAGATCATGTATTAGCTGACTGTAAGGTGTGCGCTATTAGGAGTTTTGAATCTCATCTTTCCGTGATTAATAAAACAAGATTTGGAAGTGTGTGAACGTGCATTAAAATGGAGGAATGAAGAGAGTGAAACAATTTCAAACCTGGCTTGCGTTGATTTTAGGCTAGTATCAATTTCTTCCGGCAGAGTTTTCTCAAGCATTTGCATTGTCTGACAGAAGCCAATGAATCGGTCGACACTGTAGTAGTCTCCGGTCACCAAAGAAAGAAGCGCCTCTGGAGACACTAAAATTTCTACAATACTGGAGAAAGACTGCCTCATTTGGATCTAAAACAGAAAAAAATACAAAATGATTTTAACACTAAAATTTCCAGGCCTTGAAGCAACATTATACCTATTTAAAAAGAAATGAAAACATGATAGCAAGATTGAAAAACCCTAAAAATCCTACAAAACACATTGAATTCATTAAATTAGAGAAATAGGGACACTTATCCTCATCTGACAATTACTGAAGTGACACAGTTAAGACTGCTGGACCTAAGAAAATTAGGTTAATTTAGACTCAGAATTTGTGTGATCATTCAGAATGCTTCGATTCATTCTGTGTCTCGTGGTTCATTGAGGAACGTCTTTATTTCTTTCTCCTTTTTCACCTTTAGGTACAAAGCTAATGGAAGAAAATTAGTAAAAAATTATCTAATGTTTTACTAATTTTCTTAGGATGATTCCAAGACTGATCAAGAAACATGCAATACGTTGAGTTGATTCAGTCCATGTTTCTGGAGAACACCTCCAAGCTGATGTCCTTTCAACATGATTTCAGACTTGTTCTAGTTGATCATGTGATTTATTGATTTGTGAAGTTGTTGAAACCTTCTTTAGATGCACGGTAAAAATCACAAGATTAGGGAAAGTTGTGTTATTAAAAAAAAAAAATCTATCAATCACGAATTAGGTTTACATAAACATCATAGCGTTCACAAGTTATACTTACAAAACATTTAGTCAGCCCTTCACATAGACTCTTTGGCCATATGTCTCGCACTAGAGCTATTTCTCTCAGCAGAATAAATATTCGTGAGACTAGGAGAAGATCGTTTTCAAAAATGGAACATTTAACCTGAGAAAAAAAAGACTTTATTAATCATATGTACGTAAATGACAAAAAAATCATCACCTATAAATTGAGCTCAGACTTCCTGTTTATTAATAGACAATGAATTCCTTTGGTGTCCATGCTAATTTCTGGATTAAAAAAAAAAAAGAAAGAAAGAAAAAAGGGCGAATTTCAAAGATACTGAATATAAAGTGTAATTAGAGAGCAGCAGTGTATAGAACTTTTGACAAAAATTTGCGGTGCTGCAACTTCATGGAAGAAGTGCAGTAGAAAAAATCTGCCGAGTCTGATTGAGAGTGCCATTTAACCAATTACATTACCAGTATTCAGAGATAATTTTTCTTTTCTTATTTCCCTTTCAATTTGACTAATGAGACTCACACAGCAAAACATTTTGCAACAGAGGTCTGAATGGATTGACATGCTTTCATTGCAACTCTCTAAGAATTATTAGCTTTGTTTGCCAGATGTTTTGAACTCTTTAAACCAAAGTTTGTTCGACAAGAACGATTGATCTAACTCTTTGATTTAAAATACTGGACTCCTGCGATCAGTAGAAAAAGATTAGAAATAATTGGAGGAACACTTTTTTTTTTACATACCAACTTTTGAGCTTCGATGATGTATGGCACTTGAAAGATGATCAAATCATTGAGCAGTGATGATTTGACTTTGTAGTCACCTTTCTCGAGCAAAACTGCTACTAAGCTTAGAATTTGGCTGTAGTTTGCATTCCAAAAATGACCTTTGAATAGGGACGAATGAACCTGGAAATCAGATATTGGAAAAACATCAAATAAAAATTCTAGGGGATATTTTTTATGCTGCTGGAGGTTTAGAAGCGGTAAGAAAAGAATGCTTTAGTACAGAGCAAAGGAGAAAATTCGTTAAAATAATTTTAGAAATACTAACTGCATATATTTTTGAGCAAGGATTCTAAATGAGCAGAAAAACACTCTGTGTTTTACCCAAAAAATAATGCCAAAAAATGTTAAGATGCAGTATTTTTTCATTCCAAACAGGGTTAAATTTATTCAGCTAAAAATAAGTTTCTTGATTCAAAATTGATTCAATGGAGAGAGATCATTATCTTTTTCAACTGCCAGTTTCAGAAAATTAACTAAATTTTGAAAACTCATATCTGTATACTATTTGTAGAGCCTTTGAAAATATAGATTTAATTCAACATAATTCAACACCTTCTTTAGAAGTCTTTCCCTCCTTTAACCTTATCATTCCTTTCTCAGCGGAAGACTGAAACTTTAAAAATAAACTATCTGAAAACTAAAAACTCACATCAGTGGCTTCTGCTATCAGTTTATCAGAAATCACAGAGTCATCTGGCATGATGCAGTCCCACAGGCTGACTGTAAAGTGTTCAACATCCAAAACAAGATTGATGTTAGAGAGCTCTGCTGTTTTTATCAAAAATCCAACCATCAATCCAATGGTTTTGATTTTCTTCTTGGTCTGGAAAACAAAACAGAAAAAAAATCAGAAAAAAATAACGACTCACAAATGACAGGAATTAATGAAAAACGTAACAAGTTATTGTTAAATGCTCATTTAAGAAATTCTGCATGTTTAGAGGATATCTAACAAACTGGGCTGGACCAATTATGGCATTATAATATGCTTTAGTAAAGGTATTAGGACTGATCATTATGCTGGAGAAAAATATTTGTTTGGCTGGATGGTATTCAACATTTTAAGAAACACTGAGCTTTGGCTCTTGTAAAGGTCAACTTTCCCCGCTAGGGGAAAAGCCGCCTCATGGGACCAGAGTCCCGGAAGGGTGGAGAGTGAAACAGCGAAAAGAGAACACACAGAGTTGGAAGGAACCCAACTCAACCGCCCAACCTCCACACGAGATCACACACTATCGGTATAAACAAAGAACTAGGGGTAAAACGATAATTCAGCCCCGAAGGGCTGACTTCAAAAAGGACTTACATGGCGAGACGCGGTTTCCAAGACGAGAATGGCGGAGGGCCAGACTTGTGTTTCCGGGTTCCTGCACCTGCGCGCTGTTGGCGGAGGAAACCGGAAACAGCAAGTTTCAAAACTTTGGCGGGAGGGCTACTGACTCTTCACACTCTTTGCTCAATTTTTATCTCACAGGAATTGCACAAAATTATGCAATTAAGAGACAAGCACTGACAATTTTTTTTTAAATAAAATAGGTTCACTCCTTTGTTGTAAAAAGTGATAAGTGGGCGAAAATTGTGCTACTTCAGTATGCAAAACAAATTTTGCATTCAATTTGTAGATAACTGTGTGGTTTACTTTGTCGAAAACTCAGCACTAACTTAGCAAGATACAAAAAAAAAAAAAAAAAAAAAAAAAAAAAAAAAGGCACAGAGCTAACACTAGAGAATTTAACATGCATCAAAAAAAGAATTTACCTTTAATAGGAGTTTCAAAAGAGAGACTAGTCTATTGAACAAATCATATTTCTCCACCAAAGACTGCCAATGAGACTTGCAGTTTGGCAACTGAGAATTCTCAATGCTGAGAGCATGAGATAAAAGTAAAAGAAATATGATGTCCTCCTCAGGGGCTAGGCTTTTGCACTCTACTTCATGAAGTTGCTTTGAAAGTAGAAGGAACACATTTTTCAGGATCATTTCTAAGCATTCTTCCTCTGAAACAGAAAAATAAGACTTCAATTTTATCTCATATTTATTGTTGAAAGTAGTTAAAAAGTAGTACACCCATTTGCTTATTAATAACGAAGGATATTTTTTTATTACTGCACAATAGTTATTTTTTAATCATTAAAAATATGGTTTCATTGATCTGATAATTTCAGGATGTTAGAACAAACAGGGGCAAAACCTGAATCTTTTTTGAAGAAACAGTTAAACATTTTTTATTACAGTTCAACAAACTTTGAGCCCACCAAGGATGCAGAAAGTTCTCTTCCTTCACATTTCATAGGCAGTTTTTCACATAGGATTGCCTTTCACTACTTTTTTCACATTGAAGAGGGCGACACACAGTTTCCTCCTAAACAGAAAAAGAAAAAGAAAAAAAAAACCTGCTTAGTAGTTACTGTCTGAGGAAAAATGCGTTCAGTGGCTCCCTTAAAAAACAGCACAATCATAAGAGGAAAAAATGAGAATAGTTAAAAAGTCCTGCATGCCTTCTGCCTTCACATTTTTCCCTTTTCAGGCACCTTCACAATTCTCCTGTGACTGGCTAGTTGGCCAATTGAGCACTTTCTGCAACCTTAGAGCTTATGATGACTATTCTCAGGTCCAATATAAAGAATTATCTGAAGTGTACCCAAGTAATAGCAAGTGAAGATGTAAATTAAAGATCTTTTCTCAAACAGAAAATGAAGAGAGAAATACCTTCTTTTGTGAGAGACTTCTGCATTGAGCTACTTTTGATCACTTGATTTGATAAAACCAGAAGTATAGCTCGAGTTTCTATTTTAGTATAATAAAACTGCATGACCACCATTGGGAAGATTTTCGCAAACTCTTTCAAACCGGATTCAAACTGAATTAATGAGTTCCTGTGAACAAAAAGAAGAATATCTTACAGCTGAATTTGCAATTTTATTTAACTTACAAGTCTCCTTAACTTTCTGGAACTTCTCCTGAAGTTAACTCGTAAGCTTAATCTACAGCATACCTTACACATTACCATTTGAACAGCTAGATTTGCTCTTGACAAAGCATTTTTGCTTACTTAATATTTCAGTTTTTACAAATTGAGTGCTTTTGCGTTAAAGTATTCAGAATGCGAAATTGCATTTTTGTTTTTTGCAAAAACTTTACAATAAAGTTGGAATATTTAATGCCTCTTCAAGTGATTATTATTCCAAGCTGTAAAATTACACTAATTGAAAAGAGGAATTAAATTATTTAAGACACCTTAAAAGTTAAGGAGGAATCATTTCTTTGACAAAAGTATTCGACCTAGTATATTCAATCAGTACTCTGTAGTGCAAACATGAACTGAGTTTACTTCGGTTTCTCCTTGCCACAACATAAGATGGACTCAGAATTGGACTAAAGTTAGCGAGAGAAGAGCAAATTTTTAGACTTAAATTAGAGACAAAGTCTACCTCATCAATTTTCCAATACAGGTACATACCTGGACGCATCTTATAGATGCGTCCATGTATTCGATTTCTTTTTGACCAAGTGGGCTCAGTTAAAAAACTTTGGTAGAAATTTAAAATATAACTCACTTTTTAAGATTTTTCATTAGTAACAAGTATGCTTCAACAATGTAGCGCACTTCAACCGTGTCTGTTTGTATGTTGTACTGTGAGAGAGACTCCAAGAAGGAGAGAGCCACCTTTGGCCAGACTGAATCGTTGATAAAACTTGGGTGGGATCCAGAGATACATGCCAGCAAATTGCGCCACTCTTTGACTAGGTCCATTTTGACTTTGACTTGTAATGGGTCCTCTGAGTCCTCACCAATAAGTCCCAAGCAGAACTGTGCAAATACACAACAATTAGATTCACACACAGTAAATACTAAAAGTAATCTTGATAAAAGACAGCTTCAGCCCAAATATTCGTACGATATGATTATGTATCTGCCATCTGTACTGATGAAGTAATTCTGCATCATTCACCACCAAAAATACCCAAAGCTAAACAAATTCATAATGCCAGCGCAATGCAAATTTTGAGGAGAGGGGACAAAATTTTGGGAAAAATAGGATTTTAAATTGAAAAAGTCTACCTCCCACTATTCTTTAGACAAGAGAGAAAAACATTTCAAACTTTACACAATGATTCTCTGAGGTTTACTACAGACTGATTCACAATCAAACACTTGTGGGATCAAATCTATTCAATTATTTTTCTCTTCCTAAAAAATTCCCTGAAAAAATTAGGGGCCGTTTGCCTGAATAAAAAATCTTCAACAACAGAAAAATTACCTCATTCCAGGCAGTTATTGTTGAATCATCTTGAAAGAAGGATTTCAAAAACCGTGACAGCTCTTCATCTACATTGTCTTTTGAGCCAATAAAAAGTTCCTGACTCAAAATGTTCATTATGGTGGCATACAGTGGCTTCAATTTCATCCTGGAAATAAAAAAAAATTGATTATATATTATTAAACATACAGGATAATTTATAATCAGAATGTAGCAGGGAATTTTTCATAGAGGGCACTTACACTGAACAAGTTTTTTATTGCAATGCTAGGGGAGAAAATTCCTAAAAATTATAAACAGTGCTATTTCAGGAAATTTTTTGGTTTTGGGGCAGATTTAGACGAGTTACTTTGGTGATTCTATAAAAGTTGAGGACGCAAAGAATGTTGTGTATGCTAGTTTAATTAATACTCTAAAGCAGAATCCATCCAGCAAGGAATACAAAATATATTTTTTAGGTCAGAAATATCCCTACCAAAGACCCACACAAATCAGTGTTACCATCCACAAACATGAAAATTACATAAATAAAGTCTTACAATTTTGCATTTTATTCGCATTACTAATATTGATAATTTTGGCAAATTTGATTATCAGAAAAAGCGGATTAACTCTCACAAAGAGTGAACATAGTTGGATCTAACCTGCCGCTGCATTGATTATTTCATACCTTTCAACCATCAATGCACTCTTTGGAGGATGGGCTCTCCATTATGCATGCTCCGATGAGACTAGACAATACGGATACTTTTACATTAGCAAAAGATATGATAAGGGTATACTAACTTCGGTTTAAAAAACAATGGCTTGAACAAAAAGAACCAAAATCCTTTTTGCTTCTTTAAATAGTGAACTGGTAAGGATCGGTGACTTTTCCACAGCTCTTGAAGTAATCTAACAGTTTCTAGACATAAGATAGAACTGCATGTTTCTTCATCCTACAGAACGGAAAAAAACATGAAACAAAAAATCAGGCATGAAATATTCCTGTCAAAATATTTGAAATAATACATGATTTTAGATTAGTCTGACCGGTGAAACTGGTTTAATTTTAATAAGTGGTGAATTGGTGGTGCATAAAACAAATCATACTGCAAAACATTCACACATTACTTATACTTTGCAGAATGATCATGCTAAAAAAAACCTGTCACTCCTGTACTTTCATTTTTTCTACTTCTTTGTACACAGAAAAGCAGTTTTGTCAAATTGCAAAGATTACAAAGAGTGAGAGGATTATGATGTTGGTCCTAGCAAATTTCAACCCTCAACTTTTCAAGTAAATGTGATGGATGCTTCATAAACGTTTTCACAAAAAATGGTGAAATTCCAAAAATTAATCCGAACAATGGATCTATTGTAAACCTTTGCTGGAATGAAAAGGCACAAAGACAATGGCTGAAAATCATGATGAGCCTATCGAGATGGGTTTAAATTTATTCCTAACTTCACAATCTCCATAAATAATGCTCGTCTTTTAGCGCTTCTTGCTTCAAAGAGCATTCTTAGGCACAGACATAATTTGACACACCAGGTAACCCTGGTTAAACAAACCTTAAAATAGCTCCGATTACAGCACACAATAGACAGACAACGAAAGTACTTCTACTAGTTAAACTTTACTTTTAAAGCAAGAAGAAAAATATGTCGCATTGATACCATTTGTTTTTTGTTCGTTTTTAATTGAAAAACTGGGACGCATGCCAGCGGCGATTTAGATTTTTGGGTAGAGTTGCAAAATCAGGTTAACTTATCTGCGCCAAATTATGCCTTTGACATACTACACATTTTGAAAATACACAAATTACTACATAGATTATGATGTTATAAGTAAATTTTAGACTTGCTCATCGTAGATTTTGAGCCAATTTTTGTAAAGAGTAACTCTTTTTTTTTGTTCCAACAAAAGTTGGCGACAGACTCATTTTATGAAATAGAAAAAAATAAGTTTTAGGATAGGACTTACAATTTTCTTCAAGTAACTGGTTAAGAAAGGGAGAATTCCATCTTCATTTTTATCTTGCTGATTTGTATCTTTCACAGCACTCAGAACAGCGGAGGCATTCACAAAAGCTTCTGTCATGCTTGACTGGTTTCGCACACAACTTGTGATAAAGCGAACTAAATAAGCCTGGTGAGAAGAAGGAGAAAAATTAGGCAATTTAATTCAAGGGCTGCAACTTGATTGCATGAATAAGGATGACATACTTCTAAGGAATGATTTCCTGAAATTATGATTTCAATGTAGTTTTGAGGACTGAATTAGCTACTTTCCATGCATATTATAATATGATGATAATATGTATTCATACTAAACCTACTCATGATAATTGGAGCCTTTGGAATCAAAAATTGAAAAATTCAATTTTCCTTCGTCAAATTTGTTTTCAAACAAGACTGATTAAAAAAAGTATGCTTTAAAACTTGGAAATACTTACCTTGCATCAAAATGAATGAATAAACTGTAATAAAGATAATAAAAAATAAACTTAGCCTATAATTTTTGTTCTTTTAAATATTTCAGCTACTTCATTTTTGAAAGTTTGTATTTTACTTGCAAATAAAAGTGACCGAGTAATGCATTATTTCTTTGTAAATAAAAAGTTTCATTGGCCATATAAAAGGAAAAGAGCCTAGACTGGACAATGTTCAAGGTTTTTGCATCTGAATATACTAAATTGACCAGGAAAAGGATCACTTAGAATGACAGGGCACGACTTGAAGATAGATTAAGTTAAAAATGAATAGTTCTTACTTTAATGCCATCTGGCTCATTTTCAGCAAAAAGGGGCTCTAAAAATACTTTTCGCACTGCAACAGGATCCAATCCAAGGCATGTTAAGAAAGAGATTGATCGATTCTGAAATAAGAAAAAAACAATTGAAAAGAATCAATTCGAATTTGATTGGACACTGATTTAATATAAGACTTGAAATTTTTAGTGAAAATCAAACCATGGCTAGGCGTGTAAAGGGTAATGTGCGTACGTAATTGGAAATTTGAACTTTTTCAGAGTGGTTACCTTACTATAACACAGACTATCTTTCTGGACGGTTCTCCTCCTCATAATGCAACTCTGAATTCTTTTTACAAATTACACTAAAAGAAACAGAAGAAAAAAAACCCTGCTTCATTTATAGTCTCAAAACACTTTTTTTCGAAAAGATTATTCTTGTGAAAAGCTCCAGTTTTTCTTCATTGCAAAACACTACACACCACTTTGACCCAAAAAAACTTTTCATGCATTACTTTTGACTTGGCACCCAAAAAAGGACATTCTTTCTGTGTCAGGGCTTTCATCATTTTTTCATTTTCCAGTCCCATGACTTTTCATTGACTCTCCCCTGACTTTTGATCAAAATCTTCGCTTTGGATTTTTTCCCCTCTTATTGCGCTGAATTTTCCTACACTATAGACAGAATCTCCACGTCTAGGGATTGGAATTAAAAAAGTAAGACTTTGGAAGTTTTTGGCCTGTTCTCAAATGGTGACAGCTGAAGTTGTGGAGCCAACACGCTGCTCGCAAAATTTCCTGACTTTTCCATGTTGTCATAAAACCTGACTTTCCAGGTTTTCCAGAACATCGAAAAACCGTGATCTCCAGAGCCTCTGTTGAGAGATACTTAAATCTTTCTAAATTTTAGATAAGTAAATATAAATGAAAGCAAAAAAAGAACAAGATAGATACACAATACACTTACATCTGCTAATTTTGACAAAACTTTCAGAGAAATTTGACGTAAGTGCGGACTAAAACTATTATGAATGTAGCTTGTGATCTGGAGTAGTCTAAAGCTCCTTTTCCAAAGTTTTGTTTCAAATAGATCTTCTTCAATAGGGGCAAGTTGAGAATTTTCCTGGGAGAGAGAGTAAAACAAACATTAACATCAACGGGTGATAAAAGTCGGTAAAACTTTACTGGAATTACATAAACATCAAACAGAAGAAACCTAAGAAAGGAATATGCAGAATATTGACAAATTAATACAAATCAGACAAAGAATTTAGAATTATGAAACATAGTCTGATAAGAACAAGAAGGAAAAAGAACATGATCACTTGGAAACTAATTAGTGATCCAGCCTACAGCCATAATTGAATTTCCGAACTCATACAAACTTTGAATAGCTAGAGTAGTGGCCAATTTCCCACTGATCTAACTAAAAAATATGCTAACATTTGTAATATTGATAAGGCCAGCTGCGGTAAAGCTGATAGTGTCTACCAAGGACCAAGTCCCAAAGGACCGACCTAGTCACAAATCAACTGTGTTTGCTATAAAGAACAGAAATTCTATTTTTCAAAGCTTAGGAGCAAAAAAAGCATAACAAACACCTCAAATTTTTTCTTGAAGTCCCATTCGGATTCAGGGAGAAGCCTCACATATTTATTTTTCCGGAATAAGCACATTATAGTTGAAAATACTCACGAGATCTAGTCTTTTGAAGGATAAGACTTGATTGAATACATCTAAAGCATGTTCCACTGTTCGGACGACTAATCGCCCTAAGCCTCCAGTCCAACTAGGTTTGGTTACAAGGTAACTGAATAGTACTTGTTCACCTGCAGAGGTACAAATAATATTCAATCATTAGTATTTGAGAATAGTAAAACAGAATTTGTTTACATCACAACTTTTTACTACTTACATGTCCCTAGTTCTCAACAGAATTTGCAAACACATAAAATATTTTGAAAGCTCTTATTGATTTCAAAACGATTATTTCACTATAAAACTTTGATATAGTAATTTTAATCTTATGAAATTGCCATTACATACATAAAATTAGGATAATATGTGAGTCTAGAGGCATATGACATATGTTCTCCACCACTCAAAAGAATAATTTGATTTTCGAGGAAACCTATGCACAATGATTAATGATAGTTTAAGTTCAGAGAGTTACTCAATTCGGTACAATGCCCAGAAAAATAAAGAGGATCGCACATTAATATTTTGCGGAGATAACAAGAATTTTCTATGCTCTTATAATAACTCCACATAAATGATTCAATTGAACATATTTTGGAGGGATTAAGATTAAATTTTCAAGAAGAGTGTTACCTGAACATGCTGTATCAACTAAGACGCTTCCAGGAATTTTGTGGAGTAGACTATACAGCAAGACATGGCGTAAAAATTGTTCGGTTATGACGAGGCTTGATTCAGCAACATCTGCCTTGGAGGGGCTTGTTTCCATCTTCATCACACTTTTATCATCATTAGGAGTCTGGAGTATTTCATGGAAAAACTCGTAGAAAAGCCACTCAACCTGGCGATAATCCTCTTCCTTCTTATAGTACCATTTCTTGAATTGCGGAAATGAGCAATTTAACAGATACATTAGGCCGCACAATACAGGCTGTGATGTTCTGGTCTCTGGAAACTGAGAGCAAAATACACGTTTTAGAGATGGAAGTAGAATCAGAAATAGAAGGACCAATCGCTGCCAACAATAGCCTTTTATGCTTATATTTCACAGCAAACGATTGGACTAGCTGAAACTTGCAGGGATCGAAAATAGGCAACAAATTGAACTATAAATTATAAGGCTCTTTCCATATGATTAAGAGGAGTAGACCTCAAAGATGGATTTTTGTGGGTAATTTATCATATTAGAGTTCTATTCAACCTGATCCAAATCAAAAATATGCTTAGTGAATAAAGATTAGACCTTTTGAATTTTGAAAATAAAAAGTTGCGTGATATATAACAAATTTCTTCACTCAGTCATGAAAAACAGGGATGAAATCTAAATTTGTCAGCAAGATTGAAATACAGGAGAGAATGGACCACTAGACAAGGTACAAATTTAAGCATTCTAATATATGTTACCTAACCAGAATTTCACGTGGAACACGATTTGCGCAGCGAAAATTACTGAAATCAACTCCTAAGGAAGATTTTAACGTTTTTATTTCACATTGGTTACGAGGAATTTAAAAAGGCCCGCTCACAAGAAACTCAAAGCTCTACGTGAGTCAAATCGCGCACCACAACGGTTCCAGCGAGCCTCTCAATCGAGCAAACGTTCATTTCCCACCTTGTGTTGTTCAAACTATAAGCAATTTGGTATAACTGAGCCAAAGCGTCAAGATTGAGGTTGCCAGATTTTTATATCGCAGAGACTGTCATGATAATGTTTAGCGCGCAATGCACTATAGCAAAATCACGTATAGCATTGAGTTTTCATGAGCGGGTGGTTTGAATTCACGCATCAAGAATCATTTAATTTCTTCATAAGGAGTTGATTTCGGTAATTTTTGTTGCGCGCATCGTATTCTACGTAAAATTTCGGTTAAGAAACCTGTATCAGAATGCTGAAATTCGTTCCTTGTCTAGAGGTCCATTATACCTTTTATAGAAACCTAGTAAGTACTATGAATGAAGTAACATTAGATGCAAATACATGTTTAATAAACTATGACATTGGCTGTTTGTCAGTTTACTTCATCTAACTTCAAATCTAATCTTCATCAAACTCTTCAGCACCCGAGAAAGAGAGAAAAATTTCCATCATGTTTTAATTTTTTAATGCCAAAAAGTTTTTTCAGCAGAAAAATTGATAGGAAGGTTTGAGGGTAAGTATAACTAACCTTGTACAATGCTATCAATAAATTCAGATAAGCAATGAAAATAGAATGATCGCCATGGCTCAATCCAGCTGAATCACAGACTGACATAAGAGATCCGATTTTTGTGAGCGATTGGGCAGTTGCACATGAAATGTAATTCATTCCACCTCGCTCACACTTTGGAAAGACAGGTAGATCTGAACACAACGCCACTATTCTTTGAGGGAATACAGCAACGGCCTCAGTGTAAAGCTGTAGGCAGGCAGTGATAATTTCTATGTCGACAGTCTTCTCAGTGAAAGGAATTCTGAAAACACAAAAGCTTATATGATGGCTTGTCAAACTCAGATAGAGGATGCAGGAAAATCAAAGTTACAAGTTTACAATTAAAAATGAAGGGTATGTCTGGTAAAAACAGAGATTTTGCACTAATAAAGGTAGTTAGGTTAAATGCAAAAATCTGATTAAAACGGAAAAATGCAATGCTATTTATTCTAATACAATTCCTGGTCTTTGTTGTTTTACATTCTACTGCTCCGTTTTGAGCTGCTTCTGTTGCTTTGTTTTCTATGTACCTGCAATGTGCAGGGCTGAACATTTCCACGAATTGACTACATAAAGCTTATTTTAAGAGAAAAGGATTCCAGCAAAACCACTTTTACGACCCAACTTGACAAAAATTACCCAGCTGAAAAATTCACCGTCATACGCTATAGCAACTTTTCCAATGTAAGGTTACAGCAGTTTACAAATTGAAGAAATGAAAAACAACCGCTGAAGAAATGCAATTTTCTTTGACATATGGAAATATTAAAAGTTTTTAGACTTGGCACTTATCCCTATGAAGCCATGTTTGAGCAAAGACTTACAAATGAAATTTATTTTTCCTTTACCAGCCTTGCCATGGTTGCACTTGAGAGGCAAATTGTCCTCTTAATGATTTGAAAAACATAAAATAAATACAAAATAACTCTTACTTGGAAAGAAGAATCAACATTTCATCCAATGCAGCCAGAAATACGTGAGTGGTATCTATGCTATATTTCATAAAAGTGCAAGTAAATTTCAAGTACATAAGAACCTTTCGACGTAAATCTTGATGAATGGTATGATGAACTGCGGTTGAGCACTGAAATAAAAATATTTCAACAGTTGAGATATTTGAAAAAAATAACGGTCAAGCCTAGCAGGTCCATCATAGGTGTTGAAGCTTTGCACAAAGTCAACCAATTTAACAATCACAGCTGATGATCAGTTTGATCGATAGACTAGTTGTGCTAGTCAAAGGATTATTTTGTGTTTTGATGGTTGTGACTTATAGATTAGCAAATAATAATAGACTCCAGCTAAACATCAAATTCTTACATCCAGTACGTCCTATGTGATACACTGAGCTACCAGTGCAAATGAGTGCGTCACTGATTGATGAAATACAGGAGGTAGAAACCATGGTATGCACTACTGCGGTGGATGACATCATACGGCATGCTTTTCAATAAGTAATATTTCCGTTGATATTGAATACCAAAACTAGGTGTTTGAACTGATTTTATTATTTTTTTCTAATGTATGGGCTCAAACGATCAAAATACGATTCTGTGATCAGCGCTACAAATAAAGACATATTTTTTCATTTTGTTGGAAGTAAATATTTTTGTTTATGAATTTCATTCGATTTTTTGGTTGTTTTTTTTTTATTATCAATATTATAATGGAAAAAATCCCTTAATTTGTCAAACTTTTACCATACTAAACAGTCAGAGATGTTCAAATTGGGCCTGCTGGGGTAATAAAATTTGCAGCTATTTTTTAATTCATTCAAATAGTTCCAAATTTTTGAGCTACTGAGTAGACACATCGAAGAAATGTTTTTATACCCTTGGTGGAGTATTTTTCAAGTGAAATGAAAGGAACATTCACATGATAATGTAATACAATGCTTGTTAAAAACGCAAAATCTAGATTAAAAAGAACAAATTAGACTTGTAAGAAAGATTAAGCATGTGGCTAGCAGGATGAAGGTAACTTACAACTCGAACATAATTGCGCAGATAATCAGTCATGATGTGCCAAAATGATATGGTGTAGTCCCAACGAAAGTTGCCTTCAATTCGCTTACACTTTGTCCCTTTAGGAATACAAACTTGTTGTACAAATGCCAAAGGATGAAAATCGAAGCTATTCACCCATTCTTGACTTTCCGTCTGCGATAACATTACACTTTCTGAAGTATAATACAACATCTGCTTGTCCATCATTTCTACAATCTGAGAAATAGATAAAGCATTAGACGATTCACCAAGCATATTTGTATTTCAACATTGATATATTTAAAAATTTTATTGACTCTGGAGTATACATATTTGCTTAAGGTAATCAAAACTCAACATTTCAAGTTAAATAAGAGGGGCCCTTTCTAGATTACAAAACGCTCCAGACTGTGGATACTACAGAACTTTTAGGATCTTCCAGAGAACTTTGGAATGGATTCTTGATGACACTAGGAGAAAGTTCAAGTCTCTCAGAAATTTTATTGTGAGGTGAGTGAGTTAAGTAATGACTGAATTGTGAATCCAAGATTTTGTAGAAACTCCATTAGGTAAGGAAAACTGAAGAGTAAAATTAGAAATAGGTATCTAGAAAACAACATGGAATTTCAGATATTTTCTTGATTCGCAATACATATTACACTCAGGTAGAACATTTTGAACCCACACTGAAAAACGTAAGATACTTGCTCTCTTCGCAAAGAATCAGAACAACTCTGCACTCTATCTTTCTTTGCTCACCTTGTTCCTCTAGCAAATATAAAATGTATAATTGAAAGCATACGGAATAAGTAGCTTAGGGGTTAGGCATCAAATTAAAAAAAGAATTGTATGATTCATTGATAAAAAGATCAAATTTTTTTTAAACATAATGAGTTTCAACAATACTTAAAAATACAGCCCCAGCAGCTACCGATGAGTCTGTTCCAGATATGACATTGCTTGCAATCCTGGGTAGATATTGAATATTCCAATTTACTACTGATTTACTTTCATTGATAATTTTCATTTTTATTCATAACTTTTAAGTTACTTCATTGTTTAGCTAAAAATCGATACAATAGAAACTAATCGAATTGGACCAAAACAAAAGCATAACCTCTATTATAGTTACCGTTAATAATATACAATCTGATTGGATTTGCATCTATGCTGTAAACTGTCTGAAATAGTATAGCGTCTACTGCATGATACACTTGTCAGGAAACTTAAGCTCAGCGGTGAAATGACATTTAGTGAATGAGATGAATAGTATCATGAGATACTGGATTTTCATCCAATAATGCTCAACATCTTTCAACAGCAAGTAAGAGACTTATTATGCACATACCGTATCACATCGTTCTTTGCTGGAGCAAAATGGAATTAGAACGAGAAGTAAGTCAGCTACAGAAATAGGATAAAACACCTCCAAATCGTGTAACAGTTGCATCAGACCTTTATTGCCTTTTTCCCAGATATCATCTTGAACCGTCTTGTGCTTGGCTAAGTTGCTTAAAAGCTGATAAACTGCTTTATCATTGCCAAACACTGCTGGTCCAAAATTTGTGCAGCATAAATGTGTCAACTCGTAAACAGTGACGGAGACAATAGTTTCCAAGAAGGAGTCATCCTGGAAAATAAATAGGAGAGTTTCTAATAAACTGCTATGATGAACAATATTGACAGGATTTGTTTTAGATGGGGCTGTTATGAATACAATATGTATTTCTTTCTTCTTAAGCTGAGAGTTAAAAATGGTAAAAACACCTAAAAAACTAGAAAAAATACTGAACAAAAAAAAAGTTTCCAATTCAAGAATTAAAACAAATAGGAAAAATGTAACTAGGTGAAAATCAAAAAATAAAATATTTTGAATCAATTCGTTTCTGGAATCTGTTGCATTCATAGCAGTTAATCTAAACTTTGCATTTTAATTTTCAAAGAGATTAGTGTGTGCATACATATTATCAATGCGCTGTGGATTATTTCCCTGTGAAACAAACTGCTGTTTCATTACCCTGCATTAAGCAGGGCAAGGTAAAAATACTTATGGTAGGAGACCATTTCAGACTGGGAATGAAGACATTTCATTGGAATACAAACCTGAAAATTTGGACAAAGTAGAATTTGATTAAGAAAATCCCATGGTTGCAATCTGTTGGCTATGGTGGCGAAGAAACTCAATGTCTTTTCATCTTTGTAGCCGTATGGACCCAGACGATTCATCAACATCCATGCAAGGACTAGGGGACCACTTTCAGCACCCTGCTTCAGATTTTTCATCTGTTCTTCCAATTTGTTGAAAACTTCCATTTCGTTAGACCAAAAGCCTGATTCGGCACTGAAATGAATGAAGTAATTGGTGAGAAGTGATGAAGAATGATTAAAACCAACATTAAAATTTTCAGGCTGCTATAGCATTCAGCGAAGGGGGCAGCTATTGCGCAAGTCAAGCAGATTAGGTATTCACTTTCTAGGATGCTATTAATGAATTTTTTTGCCAAAAATGAGGCATTGAGTCTTAATTGTGAAAGAAAAATTTTACAGAATGCTTCTTTAAAGTTCTCTTCTCAAAACAAGCTTCCTAATTTATGTCTTGAAATCATTAAACATCAGTTATGAATTAATTAAAAAATTATATTTCGTATAAGATAAAAGAGAGTTATTATTATGTATTTTCATACATTCAAAATCCATCAGTATATTATTTCTTCATATCCCTCTAAATGATCAAATGGAGAGGGGAGGGTGTTCAAACCGAGAAGAATTGAAACATGTGTATTGTAGCAAATGGTTACACTTTCAGTATACAAGTTCGATATTAATTCACTGGGACAGTAAGTATTGACAATTTGCATTTGGAAAAAGATTTACTTACTCCCATGAGTAACTGAAAAGCTGCAATGTGAGAAGTACTTCCGTAAGTGTGATGGTTTTCAGCTGGGAAAGTGACTGCTCATCATCACAGCGCCTCTCTTGAACCGATCCGAAATCTGATTCCTGTTACAACAGCCGAAAAATGAGAGGTAAAAACCAAAAACTGGCTGGTTACGATTCATTACAAAATATCAAATGAGTAAGGTGCAATAAAGGAACATTTCAGAATTTTTCAAAACTCAAATTTTGGTTTAGATTTAGGGGATGTAAAATGGTCCCAAAACCATCAAATCATAGACAGTTGATTTGTATAGGTAATACTGATTCTCACTGTTCATTGTTCACTATTTCCCAACTAACACTTCTAAATAATACTGAAATGATTTTCATTAATCTTATAAGACTCTAGATATTTAAATGGCAGCACCTATTCTTTTAATTCATTTTCTGAAAGTTAAGAGTAAACTAAGCTTCTAGGAATTTATTCAGATCTTTTTGAAAAAGAGTTTTTTATCAGAATAATTTGATTTAAGATTGAAGCATATGAACAGCCAGGAGAAACAGCAAACCCAAAAAACAGTTAAATGATGTAGTATGAATAAGGAAATCATTGTATGAGCAACTTTCCACTAAAAACAGCGGTGAAAGCCTACACTGTAATTAAATTTTCATTATATCTGAGAAATCATGGTGAAAAACGTCTAGCCTAAAGTTAATGACAAAAAATAGTCAAGATGCGTTATTACCTTAACTGTTTGTATCCATTGTAGTACATTCGCAAGTTTGATATCAACTATTGGGACTATCATTATCAGAATGTTCAGAATTTCAATCTGCTCTGCAAAACAGTGTTGGACCCAAAGAGATTTACGTGAATTAGTCAGCAGCGATCCATGCGTTAATTTTATTGGTAATGGAACTGACTGAATTTTTGCAAGTTGACTCATCAGAGACTTGTAAATTTCAGCTGGTTTCAGTTTATCAATTAAACTTTTATACACATCCTGGAAAGAGAAAATCCACATTAATCATGAGGAAAATAAAAGTGGAAACATTCTCAAAACGGACATTGCACAGTATTTAGATATCTCCAATTTACTCAATAAAATTAAGAAATTCATTTTAAAACATTGAAATTCTCTTGAGAAAATAAAGTCCACATCTTTAAACATGCATCATAAGATGTTGAAGTGTTTGAGGGTCAATATTACCACAAGGACTGTACCACAAGGACTGTCCAGAAACTAAGTTTACTGATTCAATATCTCCTAAACTATGATTGATAGAAAGAATCTGTAACAAGCAATGAAAAGCCACCTTTTTTCTGGTGAGAGGATCATTATTGCAAAGTTTTTGGACAACAATACATTCTTAATGCTAAATTTCTGTATGAAGAACCACACATTCTTTGGAGTGCTAAGATTGGCAGACGGTCATGAGATGAAATATTTTATTTTTTCTCAAAATCAAGTTGGTGGAGCTTACATTATTTGGAAAATAATTGGTTCAACTGTCAATAAAATCTTTGGAGAAAATAGAAAAGTAAAAAATGAAAAAACTAACCTGGTATTTGTGATTAGCATCAAAATAGTTCTTAACAATGTGTTTCAGTGTCTTTAGAAGAAATAATCTTTCACTGTAGTAAAAGAAAAAAACACCCTGAATAATTTCATTCCTGGACTTGTCTACTTTAACCATTTCCTGCAGCTTGGACTCAGTCCCCCGGAAGGAGTGCATGATGTAATTTAAGAATATGTCCCAACATTTGGCGTGTTCAACATTCTGAAAAATGCAAAAAGGATTAATGAGTTTTGAAGCTCCATTATTAAGTTAATTTGCGTTACTTGTAAGTAAGTTGGAACCCTTTTCAGAAAACTATTCCTTTTTTGCTCTATGCACAGGGTACAGAATTCTGAATCTCGCTCATACAGCAAAAATGAAAAAGTAATTTAAATTAAGCTCTATCTTTAAGTACAGTCATTAATTTTACTGGTGCAAAATTAGAAATGGTCTTTGATCAAGGTATATTAACTTTTCAGACTACTGAATATTTAAAGTAGTAAAAAATTTAAAGTAAAACAAAATTGATCTTGCCTGATGTAGGTATGACAAGCCAGAAGTTTATTAGCCCCTCCACTTGTAAAAAAAATACTGACTGAAAATATGTGAGCAGACTTTGTTTCCGTACAGAATGTAATATAGGGACAAAAGACTTAAGCAGAATTTTTAAATGCAAAAATTCACACTCAGTAAGAGACGGAAAGAACTTTCCTCCTCAAAACAGACAGAAGTCGTTAAAAAAAAAAGACTTTTGAACCATTTCAAATATTATCTAAAGCGTGAATCGGAAACTTGCTACAAATACACAAATAGAGAATCGTTGGAATTCTTAAATTTTGATCTAAAATGGGGTTGATCATGAGTAACTGAGAGTGATTGTCGTCATTCAATTTTTGAAACTTACTAGCAACAAAGCCAAGTGACTGATCAGGTTGTCAACACTCATCTTCTTACTGGTGTCATTGTTTGCTTCAACTTTTTTGCGGTTTTCTGTACAGACATCGAACCAGTTAGTCCCTTCTAATAACTGTTTCTCAATTTTTTCCAACTCGAACTTGATGAATTTGGGATCGACTTCCCCTTTCAACTCGGTGATCAGTTCATAAAGTCCTCGCCAATACCTGAAAAAAAAAAGTATGAATCCTGATTCTGCATGATGGGACGCAAGCAAACTTGCAAAAAAAAATAGGTAATTATGATGACTCATCAGAAACATAGGTGGCATCTTAAGTTTCATGGGATGATTTAAAAGTAAATAAAGCATTGACTCTCTGATACGTAGGGAAACGCTTACAATTTGACTTGAATAATCCTGCATAGTGTCGCCATTCGGCCGGAACTGTAAGATTTGATGTGGACTTGAATAAGAACTGCCGCACATTCAGTTCCAAATAAATCTCACTTGATGTTGACCAAAAGGTAGTTTAACTGATATACTGGTCCCATTGAGATTCAGTGTCTTCAGCGCGTGTCGAAACCGTTGACTGCAGAGGGTATACAAACAGAAAATTTCCGACTATGAACTTTAAGAATCTGCAATTCTGATGGAATTTTGCGGATCAATTTTTTTGGTGTACGGGGATGGAAATCCAGTCAGAGAGGGGGAATATGCAGCTAAAATCAATCGGAGGATGATGCTCATGAAAGGACAAATGAACAAGAAATCACATGCTTACCCCAATTTTTCGTTGGCACTCATTTTGAATGATAAATGAGAATGTCACTAGGGTTCTAAAAATGCATCGGCTGTACTATCATAACTATTTAAATTAAAATATTAATTAAATAAAAATAGAAAATACTGTAACGGCATTCGGAAAACCGCGAAAACATGATGGGAAAACTAACCTCAAATCAAAACAATTCTCTTCACAGAGTCGACTGTTCAGCAGAGATTCCTTCCTTGAGCTCGGAAGGCAGGGATGACAAAAATCCTGCCGAATTTCCATCGCAAACTGTCTGGTGCGCAATCGGGAGCATCGATGTTTCCTTTCTGCAGACTCACTGCACTCCCCACGCGCCGCAGGATTTTTGTCAACCCTCGCCTTTCGGGCCAAGCAGGAATCTTTTAAATTCAAACCAAATTAAACGCTCTTTTTTTT